TGGTGTGCGTGTGCGTGTGTACGGATTGGTGTGCGTGTGTACGGATTGGTGTGCGTGTGTACGGATTGGTGTGCGTGTGTACGGATTGGTGTGCGTGTGTACGGATTGGTGTGTGTGTGTACGGATTGGTGTGCGTGTGTACGGATTGGTGTGCGTGTGTACGGATTGGTGTGCCGTGTGTGTGTGTACGGATTGGTGTGCGTGTGTACGGATTGGTGTGTGTGTGTACGGATTGGTGTGCGTGTGCGTGTGTACGGATTGGTGTGCGTGTGTACGGATTGGTGTGCCGTGTGCGTGTGTACGGATTGGTGTGCGTGTGTACGGATTGGTGTGCGTGTGTACGGATTGGTGTGCGTGTGTACGGATTGGTGTGCGTGTGTACGGATTGGTGTGCGTGTGTACGGATTGGTGTGCGTGTGTACGGATTGGTGTGTGTGTGTACGGATTGGTGTGCGTGTGTACGGATTGGTGTGCGTGTGTACGGATTGGTGTGCCGTGTGTGTGTGTACGGATTGGTGTGCGTGTGTACGGATTGGTGTGTGTGTGTACGGATTGGTGTGCGTGTGCGTGTGTACGGATTGGTGTGCGTGTGTACGGATTGGTGTGCCGTGTGCGTGTGTACGGATTGGTGTGCGTGTGTACGGATTGGTGTGCGTGTGTACGGATTGGTGTGCGTGTGTACGGATTGGTGTGCGTGTGTACGGATTGGTGTGCGTGTGCGTGTGTACGGATTGGTGTGCGTGTGTACGGATTGGTGTGCGTGTGCGTGTGTACGGATTGGTGTGCGTGTGTACGGATTGGTGTGCGTGTGCGTGTGTACGGATTGGTGTGCGTGTGCGTGTGTACGGATTGGTGTGCGTGTGCGTGTGTACGGATTGGTGTGCGTGTGCGTGTGTACGGATTGGTGTGCGTGTGTACGGATTGGTGTGCGTGTGCGTGTGTACGGATTGGTGTGCGTGTGCGTGTGTACGGATTGGTGTGCGTGTGTACGGATTGGTGTGCGTGTGTACGGATTGGTGTGCGTGTGTACGGATTGGTGTGCGTGTGCGTGTGTACGGATTGGTGTGCGTGTGCGTGTGTACGGATTGGTGTGCGTGTGCGTGTGTACGGATTGGTGTACGTGTGCGTGTGTACGGATTGGTGTGCGTGTATACGGATTGGTGTGCGTGTGCGTGTGTACGGATTGGTGTGCGTGTGCGTGTGTACGGATTGGTGTGCGTGTGTACGGATTGGTGTGCGTGTGTACGGATTGGTGTGCGTGTGCGTGTGTACGGATTGGTGTGTGTGTGTACGGATTGGTGTGCGTGTGTACGGATTGGTGTGCGTGTGCGTGTGTACGGATTGGTGTGCGTGTGTACGGATTGGTGTGCGTGTGTACGGATTGGTGTGCGTGTGTACGGATTGGTGTGCGTGTGTACGGATTGGTGTGTGTGTGTACGGATTGGTGTGCGTGTGTACGGATTGGTGTGCGTGTGCGTGTGTACGGATTGGTGTGCGTGTGTACGGATTGGTGTGCGTGTGTACGGATTGGTGTGCGTGTGTACGGATTGGTGTGCGTGTGCGTGTGTACGGATTGGTGTGCGTGTGTACGGATTGGTGTGCGTGTGCGTGTGTACGGATTGGTGTGCGTGTGTACGGATTGGTGTGCGTGTGCGTGTGTACGGATTGGTGTGCGTGTGTACGGATTGGTGTGCGTGTGCGTGTGTACGGATTGGTGTGCGTGTGTACGGATTGGTGTGCGTGTGTACGGATTGGTGTGCGTGTGTACGGATTGGTGTGCGTGTGCGTGTGTACGGATTGGTGTGCGTGTGCGTGTGTACGGATTGGTGTGCGTGTGTACGGATTGGTGTGCGTGTGCGTGTGTACGGATTGGTGTGCGTGTGTACGGATTGGTGTGCGTGTGCGTGTGTACGGATTGGTGTGCGTGTGCGTGTGTACGGATTGGTGTGCGTGTGTACGGATTGGTGTGCGTGTGTACGGATTGGTGTGCGTGTGCGTGTGTACGGATTGGTGTGCCGTGTGTGTGTGTACGGATTGGTGTGCGTGTGCGTGTGTACGGATTGGTGTGCGTGTGTACGGATTGGTGTGCGTGTGTACGGATTGGTGTGCGTGTGTTTCAGTTTCAGATTCCTTTATTAGTCCCCAAGGGGCAATTCAGTTTTACAGCCAACCCATCCATAATAGTTAAATGCATTAACACACAATGTATAAAAGAGAAAAGAAGAAATAAATAACCACATCCACACATACTAGTATCACACTCACACACACGCACACCTGCCACTACCTAAACAGAGCAGTGGAAAGCAAGAGCCAGTACCATGTAGTTATGTATTTTCGTTTAGCAGTCTTATAGCAGAAGGAATGAATGAGTTAGCATAGCGATTAGTTTTGTGTGTGTGTGTGTACGGATCGTGTGTGTGTGTGTGTGTGTGTGTGCGGATCGGTGAGTGTGTGTGTGTGTGTGTGCGGATCGGTGTGTGTGTGTGTACGGATCGGTGAGTGTGTGTACGGATCGTTGAGTGTGTGTGTGTGTGTACGGATCGTTGAGTGTGTGTGTGTACGGATCGGTGAGTGTGTGTGTGTGTACGGATCGTTGAGTGTGTGTGTGTACGGATCGGTGAGTGTGTGTGTGTGTACGGATCGTTGAGTGTGTGTGTTTACGGATCGTTGAGTGTGTGTGTGTACGGATCGGTGAGTGTGTGTGTGTGTACGGATCGTTGAGTGTGTGTGTGTACGGATCGGTGAGTGTGTGTGTGTACGGATCGGTGAGTGTGTGTGTGTACGGATCGGTGAGTGTGTGTGTGTACGGATCGTTGAGTGTGTGTGTGTGCGGATCGGTGAGTGTGTGTGTGTGTGCGGATCGTTGAGAGTGTGTGTGTACGGATCGGTGAGTGTGTGTGTGTACGGATCGGTGAGTGTGTGTGTGTACGGATCGTTGAGTGTGTGTGTGTTTACGGATCGGTGAGTGTGTGTGTTTACGGATCGGTGAGTGTGTGTGTGTACGGATCGGTGAGTGTGTGTGTGTACGGATCGGTGAGTGTGTGTGTGTACGGATCGGTGAGTGTGTGTGTGTACGGATCGGTGAGTGTGTGTGTGTACGGATCGGTGAGTGTGTGTGTGTACGGATCGTTGAGTGTGTGTGTTTACGGATCGGTGAGTGTGTGTGTGTACGGATCATTGAGTGTGTGTGTGTGCGGATCGGTGAGTGTGTGTGTGTGCGGATCGGTGAGTGTGTGTGTGTACGGATCGGTGAGTGTGTGTGTTTACGGATCGGTGAGTGTGTGTGTGTACGGATCGGTGAGTGTGTGTGTGTACGGATCGGTGAGTGTGTGTGTGTGCGGATCGGTGAGTGTGTGTGTGTGTGCGGATCGGTGAGTGTGTGTGTGTACGGATCGGTGAGTGTGTGTGTGTGTACGGATCGGTGAGTGTGTGTGTGTGCGGATCGGTGAGTGTGTGTGTGTGTACGGATCGGTGAGTGTGTGTGTGTGTACGGATCGGTGAGTGTGTGTGTGTGCGGATCGGTGAGTGTGTGTGTGTGTGCGGATCGGTGAGTGTGTGCGGATCGGTGAGTGTGTGTGTGTGTACGGATCGGTGAGTGTGTGTGTGTACGGATCGGTGAGTGTGTGTGTGTACGGATCGGTGAGTGTGTGTGTGTACGGATCGTTGAGTGTGTGTGTGTGTGCGGATCGTTGAGTGTGTGTGTGTGTACGGATCGTTGAGTGTGTGTGTGTGTGCGGATCGGTGAGTGTGTGTGTGTACGGATCGGTGAGTGTGTGTGTGTACGGATCGGTGAGTGTGTGTGTGTGTGCGGATCGGTGAGTGTGTGTGTGTGTACGGATCGGTGAGTGTGTGTGTGTACGGATCGGTGAGTGTGTGTGTGTACGGATCGGTGAGTGTGTGTGTGTACGGATCGGTGAGTGTGTGTGTGTACGGATCGGTGAGTGTGTGTGTGTACGGATCGGTGAGTGTGTGTGTGTACGGATCGGTGAGTGTGTGTGTGTGTACGGATCGGTGAGTGTGTGTGTGTACGGATCGGTGAGTGTGTGTGTGTACGGATCGGTGAGTGTGTGTGTGTACGGATCGGTGAGTGTGTGTGTGTGTGTGTACGGATCGGTGAGTGTGTGTGTGTACGGATCGGTGAGTGTGTGTGTGTAAGGATCGGTGTGTGTGTGTGTGTGTGTGTGTGTGTGTGTGTACGGATCGGTGTGTGTGTCTCACCTGCCGTGCGCGCGTGTGTGTGTGTACGGATCGGTGTGTGTGTCTCACCTGCCGTGCGCGTGTGTGTGTGTGTCTCACCTGCCGTGCGCGTGGAACTGCAGCTCCAGCTCGCGCTCCGAGTGTGTGAGCGCTCTCCTGGCCCGCTGGTGCCGGTCCTGAAGCTGATCCGGGTCGTACGACAGGCCCTCGTAGTGACGGATGTACTTGTTCAGGGGGTTGCCATAGTAACCTGCTCAGCACACAGACACCAGCGTTAGATTGGGCCGCGGTGATCACATGACTCGTGAAAATAAACAGACCATATGTGACCCAAAACAAGGCTCGATTTTCTCACTTTTGCTGCATCCACTCACAAAAATATATATTTTAATATATTTATGGTAGGAAATTTACCATAGTTCTCTTTAAATGAGCATTAGCCCATGGTTTATTTGAGCCATCCTCGGTGTGTGTGACTCTTCTCTCGAACACAGTTTATATTAAACATGTCCTGGCTCTTCCCAGCTTTATAATGGCACTGGGTTGCAACCAACAGTTAAAAGATCAAAATCGTGCATCTATCCGCCGTAAACACACATCTCGCGGCTCCGGCGTTAGCTTCCGGCCAAACGAACGGCTTGAGGGAGAGTAAATCATGGGCTAATGTGAATTTTAAGAACTAATCCTTTAATATCCTAATGATTTTTGGCATAAAAGAAAAATAGATAATTTTGCCCCATACATGTATTGTTGGCTACATATATTGGTTGGTGGGTGGGTGGATGGGAGGGTGGATGGGTGGTTGGGTGGGTGGATGGATGGTTGGGTGTGTTGGTGGGTGGATGGATGGATGGATGGATGGGTGGATGGGTGGGTGGGTGGATGGATGGTTGGGTGGGTGGATGGATGGGTGGGTGTGTTGGTGGGTGGATGGATGGGTGGATGGGTGGGTGGATGGGAGGGTGGATGGGTGGATGGATGAGTGGATGGATGGTTGGATGGATGGGTGTGTTGGTGGGTGGATGGATGGGTGGGTGGACGATGGATGGGTGGGTGGATGGGTGGTTGGGTGGGTGGATGGATGGTTGGATGGATGGATGGGTGGGTGGGTGGGTGGTTGGATGGGTGGTTGGGTGGGTGGATGGATGGATGGGTGGTTGGGTGGGTGGATGGATGGGTGGTTGGATGGATGGGTGGATGGATGGGTGGTTGGATGGATGGGTGGTTGGATGGGTGGGTGGGTGGATGGGTGGATGGATGGATGGTGGGTGGTTGGGTGGGTGGATGGATGGATGGATGGGTGGGTGGGTGGTTGGTTGGGTGGATGGTTGGGTGGGTGGATGGATGGGTGGGTGGATGGATGGGTGGGTGGATGGATGGATGGATGGGTGGGTGGATTGGTGGGTGGATGGGTGGATGGATGGGTGGGTGGTTGGGTGGATGGATGGGTGGGTGGATTGGTGGATGGATGGGTGGGTGGATTGGTGGGTGGGTGGATTGGTGGATGGATGGGTGGATGGATGGGTGGGTGGATGGGTGGGTGGATTGGTGGATGGATGGGTGGATGGTTGGATGGGTGGTTGGGTGGGTGGATGGATGGGTGGTTGGGTGAATGGGTGGTTGGATGGATGGGTGGGTGGATGGATGGGTGGTTGGGTGGATGGTTGGGTGGGTGGATGGATGGATGGATGGGTGGGTGGATGGATGGGTGGATGGGTGGGTGGATGGATGGGTGGATGGATGGGTGGGTGGTTGGGTGGATGGATGGGTGGGTGGATTGGTGGATGGGTAGGTGGATGGGTGGATGGATTGGTGGTTGGGTGGATGGATTGGTGGATGGGTGGGTGGATGGGTGGATGGATGGGTGGGTGGGTGGATGGGTGGGTGGATGGATGGATTGGTGGATGGATGGGTGGATGGATGGGTGGATTGGTGGATGGATGGATGGATGGATGGGTGGATTGGTGGATGGATGGATGGGTGGATGGATTGGTGGATGGATAGATTGGTGGATGGATTAGTGGATGGATGGGTGGGTGGGTGGATGGATGGGTGGGTGGGTGGATGGATGGGTGGGTGGGTGGGTGGATGGATGGGTGGGTGGGTGGATTGGTGGATGGATGGGTGGATGGGTGGATTGGTGGATGGATGGGTGGGTGGATGGGTGGATGGATTGGTGGATGGATAGATTGGTGGATGGATTAGTGGATGGGTGGGTGGGTGGATGGATTGGTGGATGGATTGGTGGGTGGGTGGATGGATGGATGGATGGATGGGTGGGTGGGTGGATGGGTGGGTGGGTGGATGGGTGGGTGGGTGGGTGGGTTGGTGGATGGGTGGGTGGGTGGGTTGGTGGATTGGGTGGGTGGATTGGTGGATGGATGGGTGGGTGGGTGGATGGATGGGTGGGTGGGTGGATGGGTGGGTGGATTGGTGGATGGATGGGTGGGTGGTTTGGTGGGTGGATGGATGGGTGGATGGATGGGTGGATGGATTGGTGGATGGGTGGATGGATGGGTGGGTGGGTGGATGGGTGGGTGGGTGGATGGGTGGGTGGATGGATGGATTGGTGGATGGATGGGTGGATTGGTGGATGGATGGATGGATGGGTGGATTGGTGATGGATGGATGGGTGGATGGATTGGTGGATGGATGGGTGGATTGGTGGATGGATGGATGGATGGGTGGATTGGTGGATGGATGGGTGGGTGGATGGGTGGATGGATTGGTGGATGGATTAGTGGATGGGTGGGTGGGTGGATGGATTGGTGGATGGATTGGTGGGTGGGTGGATGGATGGATGGATGGATGGATGGATGGGTGGGTGGGTGGATGGATGGATGGATGGATGGATGGATGGGTGGGTGGGTGGATGGGTGGGTTGGTGGATGGGTGGGTGGGTGGGTGGGTTGGTGGATGGGTGGGTGGGTGGGTTGGTGGATTGGGTGGGTGGATTGGTGGATGGATGGGTGGGTGGGTGGATGGATGGGTGGGTGGGTGGATGGGTGGGTGGATTGGTGGATGGATGGGTGGGTGGTTTGGTGGGTGGATGGATGGGTGGATGGATGGGTGGATGGATTGGTGGATGGGTGGATGGATTGGTGGATGGGTGGATGGATGGGTGGGTGGGTGGATGGGTGGGTGGATGGATGGATTGGTGGATGGATGGGTGGATTGGTGGATGGATGGATGGATGGGTGGATTGGTGGATGGATGGATGGGTGGATGGATTGGTGGATGGATAGATTGGTGGATGGATGGGTGGATGGATGGGTGGATGGATGGTGGATGGGTGGATGGATGGTGGATGGGTGGATGGATGGTGGATGGATGGTGGATGGGTGGGTGGGTGGGTGGATGGATGGATGGGTGGGTGGTGGGTGGATTGGTGGATGGATGGGTGGATTGGTGGATGGATGGGTGGGTGGATGGATGGGTGGATGGATTGGTGGATGGATAGATTGGTGGATGGATTAGTGGATGGATGGGTGGGTGGGTGGATGGATTGGTGGATGGATTGGTGGATGGATGGGTGGATGGATGGGTGGGTGGATGGGTGGATGGATGGGTGGGTGGATGGATGGATGGATGGATGGGTGGGTGGGTGGATGGATGGGTTGGTGGATGGGTGGGTTGGTGGATGGGTGGGTGGGTGGGTTGGTGGATGGGTGGGTGGGTGGGTTGGTGGATTGGGTGGGTGGATTGGTGGGTGGATGGATGGGTGGGTGGATGGATGGGTGGGTGGGTGGATGGATGGGTGGGTGGGTGGGTGGATGGATGGATGGGTGGGTGGGTGGGTGGATGGATGGATGGATGGATGGGTGGGTGGATGGATGGGTGGGTGGAGGGATGGGTGGATGGGATCACCAGGGCCATGTGATCTTCTCCCTCCCCAGCTCCACCTGCTGAGATCTCAGAGATCGCCATATTCCTTACAGAAGCTCCAATTCTATTCACTGTATTTGTGTATTTCAGATAGACATTCCATGCTTATATATATATATATATATAGAGAGAGAGAGAAAGAAAGAAAGAAAGAAAGAAAGAAAGAAAGAAAGAAAGAAAGAAAGAAAGAGAGAAATTAACACATAGGCCTAATTTCTAAACTGAAAACCTATTTTACCAAATCATTTTCACATTTGTTTAAAGCCACAGACATGGTCATGTGACATTAAGAAAGCTGTGATTTTGACACCATTTAATAATGAGAGATGATTGCTGTCATCTCATAATGGTCAAATACTGGTGTATTAATCAGATATAACAGTTACTGGTTTATCAGTCATAAAGAGCTCATCAGTGTAATAAAGGCCCAATTGATACACAGAAACAAAGATGATGAGTATGAAATATATGCAGCTTCGTTATAACACAATCACCTTCATGTGTCACTATATGAATGGTATTGCCTGATTATTGAGATATGAATCAGGACTGAAGATGATGTGTTTATGGGAGTGTTGATGTAATCATCCATCTTAAGCTGGATGTGTGTCAGCTCAATCTCGACCCACTCAACACATCTGAGCTCAGAGACCGAACCCGTCCACAGACCCGCTCGCCACAGAACCCGTCGAGAACACCGAGGAGAACGCGCCCGTTCCGGGGAACATCGCAACAACGGCCGCGGTGATCGGGGGATCTGGGAATAACGGTCGCGGCTTTAGCATTAGCACAGATGCTCGCGCGGAGCATCACTGAATAAAGCCGAACCGGGTCGAAACACTCTCTCACACACACTCACTCACCTCGAGCGGACCTGAAGGCGCATGAGAGGCACAACAGCACCGAGAACACGACCGTCATCGCGGATAAATGCATGTTTAGCGCATGGATGATGGACGGGCTGGGTTTTATTGTTTACAGCTTCAGTCTCGGGTTTGGGGCTTTGCGTGCTGACGTCAGACGCACAGAGACACGAGCACGAGCACGAGCACGAGCCCCTCCCCCACGCCTGAGCGCTGCAATCACAAGCACAGCAGAAACAACAACATTGCTTTTGTAAATCAGAATTATGGGATAGAAGAGTCCGCTGAAATCAATCTGATTGGCTTTATGACTTTATGAAATATTATTTACGAGGTTTATATCAGTCTGCCAGTAAACGGAGTCATGCTTACAATTTTACAAAGGAGTTACTTTCGGGATGTAATGTCATGCTGTAATTTAATGTACTGTCTTATATCATATGACATTATTTCTCCTTCTTACATGCCTTAAACACGCATGAACATGCGGCTGTAGATGCATATACATCCAACTATACACTGTACAGACAGATTATCTGCATTAAACTGTATTTATACATGACTGGACACAATAGGTTATATGCACACACACACAAATACAGAATGCATTAAACATGTTTTATGGACCGTGTCGTTCTTGATTTTGATATACAAGCATGCTTAAATGTTCACCAACCTGAATAGAATTTATTATTGTACAGTTTTACTGTTATTATTCCTGTGTCCATGACTAGCATAAAAACTACAAACAAATCCTGTTGATGTCGACGGACACTGAGGGTCAAACTGGGGAAACGCACACTGTAAAACATTATTCTGATTTTAACGGTAAAAGACTGTAAAAATGCTACGGTGAAAAACTGTTAATTGGTTAATAGAACGTTTCCGTACTATATTCAGTAAATATCTGTGATAGATCTAACCGTAGATCTTACAGTAAAATACCATTACAGTTTTTGGAAGTGAAAAAGAACAAGTCATTGTATAATTTACAGTGAAAAAAACGTAAATTGACATTCCCACAATTCCCTGCGTAACACTTCACGTTTGATGTATTAGTGTTGAAATAACTGTTTCTTCTAATCAGTTATGTAAATTAGGCTTTTATGTTACATTTATTGTTGTTTATTGCATTTTCTAATTTCACGTGTGTTACCATGATGGTGTTCGGTGTGTGTGTGTGTGAGAGAGAGAGAGTGACACTGTGCAGCGTCTAGCAATAATATCCTCAGAGCTGTGATACATCATGTGACTCTCATCTCCACTGTGATTGGTGGTTGTCGGTGTATTACAGTGGTACAAACCAGACATTAGTACATCAATAGATTATTAAAATAAGTCAATTAAATATTTTTTTTTTTTACTGTAAATACAAGTTAAGTCTGTAAAACCTAAAATGCTACTACCGTATTTTTATGGTAAATGTCTGGCACCCACAGCTGCCATATTTTTTACAGTAAATTTAACAGATTTTTTTACAGTGCAGTTTAACTTCGTTTCATGTGACTATTTTGTATTGCAGTAATAATGCATGATATATAAGAACTAAAATAATTATTTATTGAGCGAGACAATGTGATTGAGGCAAACACATTATTGAGCATAAAAACATCTACAGAATGTGTGAGATTATTACAATAGCTTTCTTAAACCTGTCCAAGCATGTTCTTTTGTGTATGATATGGCATGTTTCTGTAATGATTCAGTGATATGTGAAATATGAACGTGTTATTTTGCTTGAATGCAGTGTTGAATCCGTGTGTGTGATCTGCAGAAACAGGACAGTCCCGCTCTCACTCCTCTACAATCTCTCCGGATGAGTCCTGTGCATCCCTTCATCACGTCACAGAGAAGCAAAGAACAGCATCTGTGTGTGTGTGTGTATGTGTGTCTGAGTGTGTGCGAGTGTGTATGTGTGTGCCTGCGAGTGTGTGTGTGTCTGAGTGTGTGCGAGTGTCTCTGTGTGTGTGTCTGGATATTTTGTAAATGTTTAGAGCAAACAAATGTAGCTTATCTCAATCTTGAGTTTTGAAGCAAGTCTAACTCATTTCCTCACTCATTTTGTAGCTTGTATTTTAAAGGGGCAGTGTGTAAGTTTAGCAGCATCTAGTGGTGAGGTTGCGAATTGCACCCAACAGAAGTTACGTGGCCGACAGGAAGTGATGTCGTCGTCTGAGACAGCAGAGAGTAGCCAGTTCAGCAATGAGGTTTCTTTACAAAGATATGTTTACTTTATTATTCAGTAAAACGATATGTTATTGTATTACATATTAATATTATTTAAATATTATAATATTATTGTGACTTGTTCTTCATTGTGTCAGTGTTTTATTCGCTGACTTTAGCAGCTTCTTTGCACGAAGAACAACATTAGTGACGAAACGCGTTTGTCCGTTCAGGGCCACTGTAGAAACATGTGGATGTAAGCGGACCCGCGGTGTGTGTAGAGAGAAACGCTCATTCTAAGGTAATTAAAACATAACGCTTCATTATGTAAGGTCTTTATACACCACTGAAAACATAGTTATATGTATGAAATTGCATTTCAGTCAACAGATCCTCCTAAATATTACACACTGCACCTTTAAGGTTAATTCCTCAACACACACACACATTGATTAAATGTTCTCAAGAATAGTGAGGTCCATATTTCAGCACTTAAAGAATGAATAATGTATTAAAAACATTTTGCGTTAAAGAATGAAAAAGAAACTCACAGCAGACGTGTTTGTTTGGTCTCTATAAAGTTTAATTGAAGAGTTGAATGAAGCAGGTAATAATCACGGACAGGTTAGTCTAGTTAAAGAGCCGGACCTGTGCTTGAACTGAACCAATGAGTATGAAGACCAGTCCATTCAATCCCATCATGCATCTGGCCTCTGAATAACTGCAGGCCGCTAAAGCTCAAGGCATCCATGCGTTTGGCAAATCTCTCTCACGCAGATGAAGATCAGGAGCAGAAGAGCTCTCTTTACACCAGGAGAAGCTTCATCTTCAGGACTTTAAATCACTGCTTCATTAAACACAAGACACTTCTGATCCTGTACGAGCGTTTCTCCTGATCAATAACACAAAATATACGTCTATCATCAGATGAAGGGCCAATCATATCATCCGTTTATAAAGGAGTGAACAGGAATCATATGATTTCAGAACTGGAATGAATCAGTTTTTGTTTGAATCAGCGACACTGAATATAAACAGACTGAAAAGTTCATTAAAGTTAGCGGCGTAGCGACTGTTACAAACATTATTCTGAAAATAAAACGCAGTTAAATGACATTCATCACGAATCACCTGCGAACGACAGAATGATACAGTCAAAACAAAAGCGTTTGTGCTCAAGAATCAATTATAAATCATCGAATCTGTTCATCACGCTCGCTTATATTCATACGCTCGCTTCATCGAAACACAAACGCATTCGTTTACATCAGCTGATCATGTTTCATTAGATTGAAAACAAACACAAACGTCCACTTCATTCAGCCGCTGACGTTCCAAAGCACAAATTATAGTTAAAAAAATCTAGAGGTATGCTAATATAAAAACAGGTACGATACCGAATAGACCAATATCTATATAAATTATTGCATATATAATAATCCAGTAAAAGTGAAAGAATTGTTGCTTTGCTTTGACTGTATCCGTCACAGAAATAAGAGAAAGCCACTGATCTGACGACGACATAAAGACGAACATGAGACGCTCAGACGCTGATCCGTCACCGCTGAACCTCACAGGAAGTCTCGCAGCAGCACTTCCTGTGGCAGATCCTGCTGGACCAATCAGAGAGTGAGATGTTGTAAGGCATATTGAACTGACATTGAACACACGTTCTGTCCCGAATCTTCAGTCCGGACGGACTCGGGAATATGAGCGTGTTTCATCCGTGAGAGTTCGTCAAATCAGGATGAATCTACATTCAGAGAATCAAACTCAACAGAGCCGCGAGGAGCAGCGAGGAGAAGAAGCTGAGAGACGGAGACGCCAGAGCCGCTGCACCTGCACACACACACACACACACACACACACACATTAGAAAACTATATAGATGAATCGACTTTGTATTGTAATAAAAAAAACTTTACATGATGAACTCAACACTGTACGGAACTGATTCATACTGAACTGAACTGAATCAACATTAAACTGAGTTGAATCAACACTGATTCAGTTCAGTGTTCACATTTCCATTTTCAGATTCAGTTCACGGAGTTGACCCAACCCTTATTGGCCCAACCGGACCTGGTTCCCCGAACTGATGCTCCTCTCGACGCCTCCTCCCATGGCCTATTGCTCTCAGGGAGGAGCTCCTCTCTCCGGGGCGGGGCACCCTATGGCTCCCGCATCCACACCTCTGGAAACTCTGGTCTCTGGACGGGACGCGGAGGTTCTAGGCGATCTACCCCAAGCTGTCGTAGACACCATCACTTCTGCGAGAGCACCTTCTACGAGGCACGCTTACGCTCTGAAGTGGAGCGTTCAGTGGTGTTCTTCTCACCGAGAAGTAGGGTTGGGTACCGAACTCGGTACTTTTAATGGCACCGACCAAATTACGTCGGTACTACAGAGTACCGATTCACATTAAATAATTTCATTAAAATGTAAACGGTACCCAACCCTACCGAGAAGACCCCCGAGATGTTCGATCGGTACTGTGCTTTCCTTTCTGCAAGAAGGGTTGGAGCAAAGGCTGTCTCCCTCCACCCTGAGTGATCCCTGGTCGTCAGGTTCCTGAGGGGCACGAGGAGACTGAATCCGCCTCGCCACCCCCTCTATACCCTCTTGGGACTTATCTCTGGTGCTGACGGCACTGCAGAGACCTCCCTTTGAGCCATTGCAGGCAGCCGAGTTAAAAATACTGTCTATGAAAACAGTTCTCCTGCTTGCTTTCGAATCATGCCCGGATATGTGCTCAAGGTTCCTACCACTCCCTTTCGGGACCAGATAGTGAACCTGGAGGAGAACCCAGCCCTGGCTTTTCTCCCGTTTTCAGATTCAGATTCAGTTCACGGAGAGTATGAAGCACCTGGTTACTATTTGCCCCTTATTGCTCCTCCCATGGCCCATTGCTCTCAGGGAGGAGCTCCTCTCTCAGAGACGGGGCACCGCATGGCACCCGCATCCACACCTCTGGAAACTCCATGTCTGGTCCCTGGACGGGACGCGGAGGTTCTAGGTGATAGTGATAGACCAGATAGTGAACCTGGATGAGGTAAACCCAGCCCTGGCTTTTCTCTGCCCCGTCCGTGCTCTGCATCTACACGTGGACAGAACTCAAAGCCTCAAAGCCTCAGGACCTCAGACCAGCTCTTCGTCTCTTGCGTACCAATCCCAAGATGCACCATGCCCCCTCAGGTTGCGAGCCCACTCCACTCGGAGTGTAGCTTCTTCTGGGCGCTGGCACAGGGTGCCTCGCTGACAGATATCTGTAGAGCTGCGGGCTGGGCACCAAAACATGTGCGCTATATTCTATAGCCTTCGTGTCGAGCCGGTAGCTTCCTCTCCTATGGACCGGATACGTGCGCTATCTTTGCTACACCTGAGTTCCCCTTTAGCCGAACCCTGTCGAGTTCCTCAATACCCTCCTTCAGTCGGACGTGGCGGAGCGTCCTAACACTCGTATGCATTGGTGGAATATGTGTAACTTCCACATGATACCTCCCTCCCCCACTGAAATACTCCCCCCGGTCCCATATGTGTATTCTTCCACGGTATGGCTCCCTGCGACAGTACTTTCGCTTGGCGGAGCCCGCTCTGCCGTCTCTTGCCAGTGTTACACCCTACATAGGCTGCAGCCGCCTCAGTGACATTCCATATGTTGTACAGCCCGGAAACTCCCAGTCCATATGTGTAACTTCCACATGATACCTCCCTCCCCCACTGAAAGGACACGCTTTCCCACTGTTATCCAAGTCTGTCTGAGAGGGTCATGCAGAACAGCAGTGAGACCCCCTCGGCCTAAGCCCTGTCCCATCTCCGCCTCTGGGATCAGGAGGCTTACGCCGGCACTGGAAGGGGGCAGCAATAGGTGGCAGGTTACATGGGATCCCAATTATGTTGAACGCGACCAACTGAAAGGGAACGTCTCGGTTACGTATGTAACCCTCGTTCCCTGAAGTAGTTACGTCCAGTCGCCACCATTGCTGGACTACCGCTGACCCCAGGCTCCGCTCGGCTCCTCAGCGAAAAACAAATGGTGCTTGCATTCACTTCCTATTTATACCCAAATTAGATGCAAATCTTACACGCAAATGTGCATTGGCACGTTCTGTTAACACTCGAAGATGATAGGCTCCCTGGCGCGATCCCAGTTACGTCGACACGTAACATCTCCGTTCCATCCTTCAGGGAACGAGGGTTACATAAGTAACAGAGACGTTACACTGTAACAAGGTCACCTTAAAATAAAGTGTAACTGTTTTTTATTTCTTTCAGTTAACGTTTACTTTATTTCAAGTAACAAAAGTGTCTTTGGTTGTTTGATTGAATTCAATGTGATTTGCTCTGGATAAAAGCATCTGCCAAATGCATAGAAATATAATGACAAACTGCTCATGAATGCAAGTCACTTTTGGATAAATGCAACTCCAAAATGAGCGTTTCAGGAAGACTGTTAGAGAAGCACATTCTGAGGGGAAACGATGTCTGAGAGGACGCTGTACCTGGGATAAGCATGTGTGCGACGGCCCCGTCTCCGCCCTCGCTGTGAGCGCGCACCTCCACCAGGTAATCGTCCTTCATCCGCGGCAGGTCGATGGACTGCTTCTCTGTGGTGTACAGCATTCCGCTGGTCTGCCCGTCCTTCCGGTACAGGATCTGAGGGAGAACAGGGACAGGTCAAGAGCTGATCATTACATGCGAGTCAAAGCTGCAGCTTATAGCAGAAACACAGTCGCGTTTAAAAGAGTCTTCAAGCTTCTCTGGCCCCTCCAGTGTTGCTGTAAAGTCAACACTCATGTTCATCTAAAGGCAGTGTTTCTGACCTTATATCCGGCCACGTTGGACTCGTTGGCCAGCGACTGCACCTTCTCCCAGCCGATGTTGATGGTCGTGCTGCTGTAGTGCTTCTTTGTGGTGAAGATCTTCGGCGGCTGACTCGGAGCTGAGAAACACCATCAGACCAGAAACCCATCTCAAGCTCATACTTGGGTATTGAGTTGTATGTATTCTGATACTGTATATATATTTTTATTTTTTATTTTTCACTTCTGACTCCTGGTCTTCATTCATCATATCTGGTCCTTGGGTCTTTAACTGTAAATCTACAACCCCCACAATACCCTACAATCTATATATATATATATATATGTGTGTATATTATTTTGACAATAAATACTGGTCTTTAGTACTCTGATAGTTCAGTGTTTGGTCAGTGTGCTCAGACTCACGGGCTTTCTTGGTGTGGATCTTGTGTCTCTGGCTGGCGGGTCCGTACCCGGCGCCGTTAAACGCCCGCACCTCGATCAGGTAAAGCGAGTCGGCCGTCATGTTGTCCAGGCGCGTGTGGTTCTCTCGACTCTGCACCGGAACCCACCGCACCGCCGCCTCGTTCTCCAGCGCCTCCCTCCAGTACCGGACCTGAGAGAGAACAGCCGAGTTAACGCTGAGTTTAAAGGTGACATATGCCCCTTTTCACAAGATGTAATATAAATTTATGGTGTCTCCAGAATATGTCTGTGAAATTTCAGCTCAAAATACTAGATCATTTATTATAACTTGTCAAATTTGCCTGTTTTTGTGTGTGTCCCTTTAAATGCAAATGAGCTTTAGCTCCGCCTCCGTTCAGAAGAGGGCGGAGCCTTTACACAAGCTTCAGAGACTCCGGCAATAACAACACAGGCCGATCTCACTGATCCAGAGTCAGGAGTAACAGCAGCGAGTGCAGCCTTACGGAGAGACTCAGGGAGAGCTTCACTTTTACACGTTTCTGAATGTTAGTGGAGACATTTCTGTAGTTGTTGTGGAGTTACACTGATCATCTCCTCATCATGTTGAACTCTTCCACAAGTGTCCACAGTTCCTGAGGTGTTTATAAGACAGCGGTGACATGTTCTGGTCAATAGTGTTCAGTGTCGTCTGTGCTCGACCACAGAACAGTTTCAGGCTTTGCTGGATCTTCTCCAGTGCGTTAGAACTGGTCTCTGTTGGCGCTCGCCGAACCCAATGTCGCTGGTGTGTGTAAACGTGCAGATTAAGGGCCGGGAATATTATAATAAGATCCTCTTCATACGGCAGAAGGAGAGCGAAATCTGATCGGCTTATTTTTTGACATGCTTGCAGAGAAAGGCTCACCAGAACAGAGTTACTGGGTTCCACTGTTCAGGTTTTCTTTGTTGGTGGAAGCACCGGGGACCCGATTATAGCACTTACACACGGACAAACTCAGATTTTCCCATTTTCATGATATGTCCCCTTTAACAGAGACCAGTGTGTGCCGGGCCGGTCAGTACCTGGTAGCCCTGGACGTTCTGCACCGGCACCCAGGACACCACGGCTTGTGTGGCCGACAGCGCTCTGGCCTCGGCGATGATGGGAGCGTCTGCAGGAACTGAGACACACACACACACATCAGTCAGAACTTCTACACCTGCGTTACCTGTGCGAGTCTGACGCTGCGCAGTCACTCACCGTCCTGCGCCGAGTCGATGAAGGCGCTGACGCTGAACGGACCCTCGCCCTGACTGTTGAAGGCCTTCATCTTCACCTCGAACCTGCTGGACGGGGGGATTTTGGGGTCTTTGTGGACGTACTTCCGGGCCTGTGGATCGGTGACCGTCACCCGCAGCCACTCGGGGTCGTTCTGAGGCTTGAAGGCGATGATGTAGCCAAAGTTACTGCCGTAGTAGTACTGCGACTGGACCGGCTGCAACAGAACCGCATCAGAACCAGAACACATCAGAACCAGAACACATCACCAGAACCACATCAGAACCACATCAGAACAATTGTTCTACAGAAAAATTGTTCTATAAATAAAAAAATCAGGCAAATGATACATGAACAAACCTTTAGGATATAGATATGAATAAAACAGTAAAGTTTGGTGTGTGTGAAGCTGCTGGAGGGGAGATTTCACCGCCTTCACAGATTGAAATCTACAGACGCTAATAGATCAAGTGCACTAAAATAAAAACTTAAATGTGTGTTTTCGATGTTTTCTTTCACTAGTCTGAAAGAAGGCAAGTTATAAAGGTATAAAGGTGTATTATACAAGGTATAAAAGCAAAACAGACCTGAAAATACCAATAGCAAACCACAACCATCCAATCAATTCCCCACGGACAAAATCAAGCCCCGCCCACATTTGTTCTTGTTCCAGAAACAATTGAAAATAAGTGTCAGATTAAAATGACAAGAGAAAGTGTGTTTTGCTGTTATTCAGAGAGACTGGGGTTGATGATAATGTGAGCTCTGGTACCGTCCATGTGATGGTGAGCTCACGACTGGCTCCGCCTCCTCCACCGATGTCTGACGGAGCCACGACCGGCCCTACAGAGGGAGAGAGAGAGAGGGAGAGAGAGGGGGGGAGAGAGGGAGAGAGGGAGAGAGAGAGGGAGAGAGAGGGGGGGAGAGAGAGAGAGAGGGGGAGAGAGAGAGAGAGGGAGGGAGAGGGGGGAGAGAGGGAGAGGGAGAGAGAGAGAGAGAGGGGGAGAGAGGGAGAGAGAGAGAGAGAGAGAGGGGGGAGAGAGAGAGAGAGGGAGAGAGAGGGGGGGAGAGAGAGAGAGAGGGAGGGAGAGGGGGAGAGAGGGAGAGAGAGGGGGGGAGAGAGAGAGAGAGGGGGAGAGAGGGAGAGAGAGAGGGAGAGAGAGGGGGGGAGAGAGAGAGAGAGGGAGGGAGAGGGGGGGAGAGAGAGAGAGAGGGAGAGAGAGGGGGGGAGAGAGAGAGAGAGGGAGGGAGAGGGGGAGAGAGGGAGGGTCAAACACTACATACATGACGGTGTTCACGGTGGCATTGTAATGCAGTTAGTGTGTTCTATCAAACTCGGGTTGTAGTTCATATATCATAGATATCCATAATAAAGGCTAGATGTCTCGTCCGCGCTGCTGGCCAATGGAGGTCGACGTCAGACCTGGCGGCCATCTTGCCACAGGCAGCTCGCTCACTCGTAACATTGTGTTTTAATGGTGCATGTACTTTTTAAATAACCGTAACTTGGTAAATTTTCTACCTATTTTCAAATGGTTTGGTTTGTTATAAATGTCAGACATGTAGTTATGACACTGCACACTAATGAATAATAAGTGTATCAATAAATAATCATCCAGAATTAAAGCCACGTTAATAACGTTTGTAAGAAACCAAACCGTTTGTAAATTCGTCAAGATTTCAACGAGATAAGAGTGTGTTGGTGCTGATCACTCATCTTACATCAGGCACCGCAGAGCCCGCCAGAACGTTTGCCTGTGACAAGATGGCCGCCGGTGATGACAATAGAGACTCCGCCGTCAGACATCTAGCCTTTATTATGGATATCTATGGTTCATACAGTCTCCGCCTCAGACGGGCCGCTGGCTGAACGCCGGACGCACACGCACACTTTACTGGAAACACTTCAGGAGTTGCCAATGAATATATGTGTCAGACATAGTAAAAAATAGAATTAAATTATGTAATTTAGTATTTTTTGTAATTTAGTATTTTTTTTTTTTTTTCAAGCTAGTATTTTTTGTATGGTTTTACTTTCAGTGTTGGTCACCTATAATAACCCTGATGCAAACTCATGTTTACTAACAGCATTCGGTCTGAAAGTGTGTGTTGGATATGGGAATATGGGAAAAAGGTTAAATATATTTTACTAAAGTATTTTGAGACAAATTGAACTGCATAAAATCATGACCCACATGATCACAACAGAAATAACAAAATCCAAAACAACAAATAAATTATGCATATTATGACAGTGTTTAATAATTTACCAAATTTGGTTCCTGCACTAAAAACTATGGATTTTTTTTTTTATGTTTAATGTACCGCTTCCTATTGGAAGCAGAGCCGAACGCAGAGGGTTAAAGGGTCTGAACTAAAGGATCGAAGGCACAAGATGAAGATGAGGGTATAACACATCGTTTACTTGTGAAACTGAGGCAGGACAGACACAACCACAGCTAACATGACCGGGAACGACGCGGGACTGAACAGAACAGGGAGTGTAAACACAGGAAGAAACGAGGAGACTGACTCGACACAGGTGGAGGAGGATGAAGACAGACAGAACATAAGTGTGGCAGGTCTGAGGTCAGTGACTCACGGGCTTCTCTGGTGGTGACGCGGGGCGAGGCGTCGCTCGGCGGGCCGGTGCCCAGTGTGTTGGTGGCCGTGACCCTGAACTCGTACTCCGTCCAGGGCGTCAGGTTCGTCACTGTGGCCATCTCTGCATTTCCCTCCACATTCACTGGAGCTGAAGACAGAATCATGGCTTTAGATCCGGACTAGAGCTTTCGTGAAGATCAGTCTCTACGTTTACATGGACACTTTTTACTTCATTGATGAATCTGAATGTAGTGTTTACATGAATGCTAAAAAAGTGATCGGGTTGATGTGTGTGTTTATATGTCTCAAGCTTCGGATCGGGTTTAATCTTTTGACATGCGCTCACTGCACGAATACACGAATACACGAATACGTTTCCCGCTGTTGTTGCACACTAACCATCCTCCTTTTCTTGGTTTTCAAAAGCAGACTTAATATTTCTCTCTTTCGGGTCCTATCGAGCACTGAACCGTTGAGCCGAGCGGCTGTATTGATCATCAGTAAAGCGTTCCCGAGCCCAAACCTGTTCTGTGGACGAGTCTGAGACGAGGGCCGTCCTCTCCACTTCACAGACGAGGAGCGCTAAGAGAACTTCAGAATGACAGGACACTCATTTATGACACTTTACTCATCATGAAGATCAGCTCGTTCTGCGCGTCATTACGCTATTTCTACGGCATCGCACATGCGCAGTCCTTACAGTTTCGGTTCTCAATCCGTGTCCTCTCAATCGGATTACAAAAGGAACAAACCCCCCCTTACAATCCGAATGAAATTTTAATCAGATCTGGCCGATTCATTCCGATTGACCGGGTTACTTTACTCTTTTATTCCGATTGTGCTGCTGGTCCGATTACACTCGGATTATTAGTGTCCATGTAAACGCAGCAAGTGACTGACGTGAAACGTGCAGTAGATCTGATGTTCTGACCGGTGGAGGCGTCTCTCCAGTCCTGCTCGCTCGCGCCTCTGTACTGGACGCTGTATGTGGAGATGGGGCTCAGGTTATCCGTCCCGTGACTCCAGGTCACCCTCACACTGCTGGCCGTCACCTCGTCCACACGCACGCCGCCGGGAGGACCTGGAGGCCCTGAGGAGGAGAGAGCCAGTGATGCACACGTCTCCTGAGGAGCACTCAAGCTTTCTCATCAAATGAGCTTCTACTCTTACTGGATGACCACTACTGACTCATATGGGTGTTTTTATTCTACTTCAGTAAGTTTTAGCCATTTAGCACGAGCTGCACAATGCTTTGATGCTGACCAAACACTGTTGTCGTGCAAATGAACGGCCGGAACACATTAAAAGTTTTCTGTTTTCTGTTTTTTAGTTAGAGCGGTGTCGTGTTAGCGGCCCCTAAGTTAATCACTAATGATCTTTACAACGGAAGTGAATCAATCAACACTAACTTTATCTGGACAATAACTTTATTCTAGAGCTGCTGTAAAGCCTAAACACTCTCTGTTACTGTAATCTCCTGTTATCACTGTAAAGCTGCTGTGAAACTCTAGATTGTTGAAAGCGCTGTATAAATGAAGGTGACTTGACTTGACTAATATATCATCCAATAAGAGAGTCCCAGCGGCCTGACGCATTCACTGGATTTCTGTCGCTCGGCGTGTGCAGTAAAGCATTCTGGGATACGGGAAACATCAGGTTTATCCCGTCTCACCTCGGACCACCAGCTCTGCGGCGGCCGTGACGTTGTCCACCGGCGTCTGAGCCGTACAGGCGTATCGTCCCGCGTGTCTCAGCTGTGCGTTACTGATCAGCAGCTCTGAGCTCGACGTCCCGGCCTGACCGGCCTGATTAACATCCTGACCAACAACAATGTAAAGTTTGATAAATACACAAGACTGGAACCATAAAGTGAATAAAGAGTCACCACAACTGTAACGACAAAGAGGAACGATATCGCTGGAATCTGTCTCAGAATGAGACTCAGTCTCCCAATCAGAATCCAAGCTAAATAACTTGAGCATTTAAAGCGACAGACGACAAAAATGCAGCGCTTATAATAAACAGAACATATTCATGCTTTGGTGTGAACGCTAATATAGTTATCATCATAGTTATTGTTACAGCTATCGTTACAGCGTTATAATTACCGTTACAGTTATCATCATAGTTACCTTTACAGTTATCATCATAGTTACCTTTACAGTTATCATCATAGTTACCTTTACAGTTATCATCATAGTTAACTGTTACGGTTACACTAATCATAATTACCGTTACAGTTATCATTATAGTTACCGTTACAATCATTATAGTTACCGTTACAGTTAACATCGTAATAGTTACCGTTACAGTTATCATCGTTATAGTTACCGTTACAGTTATCATTATAGTTACCGTTACAATCATTATAGTTACCGTTACAGTTAACATCGTAATAGTTACCATTACAGTTATCATCGTTATAGTTAACGTTATAGTTAACGTTACAGTTATCATCGTTATAGTTAACATTACAGTTATCATCATTATAGTTACCGTTACAGTAATCATCGTTATAGTTAACGTTACAGTTATCATCATAGTTACCTTTACAGTTATCATCATAGTTACCTTTACAGTTATCATCATAGTTAACTGTTACGGTTACACTAATAATAATTACCGTTACAGTTATCATTATAGTTACCGTTACAATCATTATAGTTACCGTTACAGTTAACATCGTAATAGTTACCGTTACAGTAATCATCGTTATAGCTACCGTTACAGTTATCATCGTTATAGTTACCATTACAGTTATCATTATAGTTACCGTTACAGTTATCATCGTTATAGTTACCGTTACAGTTATCATTATAGTTACCGTTACAGTAATCATCGCTATAGTTGCCGTTACAGTAATCATCGTAATAGTTACCGTTACAGTTAACATCGTAATAGTTACTGTTACAGTAATCATCGTTATAGTTACCGTTACAGTAATCATCGTTATAGTTACCGTTACAGTTATCATTGTTATAGTTACCGTTACAGTAATCATCGTTATAGTTACCGTTACAGTAATCATCGTTATAGTTACCGTTACAGTAATCATCGTTATAGTTACCGTTACAGTTATCATTATAGTTACCGTTCCAATCATTATAGTTACCGTTACAGTAATCATCGTTATAGTTACCGTTACAGTTAACATCGTAATAATTACCGTTACAGTAATCATCGTTATAGTTACCGTTACAGTTTTTAATATAGTTACAGTTATGGTTCTCGGAGTGAACAGGCGTTAAGGTCTGCTATTATTCAAGTCTTGATTCATTAAACTAAATCAATAAATATTAAATGTTTGTTATCAGTATTATACAGACTGAAGTTCACCATCTTGTGCTCGTAATGCTCTCTGTCTCGGTCGAAGTCGATGACGTGCTCGTCGAGGGACCAGATGAAGGTGAGGTCAAGGGTCGGGTCATGTGACGCCGCACACTCCATCCTGGCGCTCTGGCCCGCGCTGATGTCAGCGTTCGACGGGGCCAGAGTGATCTTAGTGGCGTCTGAGGAGAGAAGGAGAGACGCACTCCATTAAACATGAACAGAGGCGACTGACAGCGACGGACAGGAGATTCAACAGCAGTCGAATCGAATGGCTCTTGTGTATTGATCACGGTCAGCTGTAGAGGTGCAGTTGTGTGTTTGTGGCAGGAGTGAACCAGATTACAAACGTCTCTGTAGACTTGAGAAAGCCTGGTCAGAAAGATTGAAGGCCATTCAGTCTGTCACACACACAGAGGCGGTCTGGGTGGTTGCTAAAGGGTTGCTATGTGGTTGCTAGGGTGAACAGGACGTGTGTTGTGTTTACACAGATGATAACTGTTTCAAAGTTACAATTATAATCATAGTTACAGTTACAGTTATCATCGTTATAGTTCCCGTTACAGTTACAGTTATAATCGCTATAGTTACCGTTACAGTTATCATCGTTATAGTTCCTGTTAGTTATCATCGTTATAGTTCCCGTTACAGTTACAGTTATAATCGCTATAGTTACCGTTACAGTTATCATCGTTATAGTTCCTGTTAGTTATCATCGTTATAGTTCCCGTTACAGTTACAGTTATAATCGCTATAGTTACCGTTACAGTTATCATCGTTATAGTTCCCGTTACAGAACTCATCGTTATGGTTCCCGTTACAGTTATCATCGTTATAGTTCCCGTTACAGTTATCATCGTTATAGTTACCGTTACAGTTATCATCGTTATAGTTACCGTTATCATCGTTATAGTTCCCGTTACAGTTATCATCGTTATAGTTCCCGTTACAGTTATCATCGTTATAGTTACCGTTACAGAACTCATCGTTATAGTTACCGTTACAGTTATCATCGTTATAGTTCCCGTTACAGTTATCATCGTTATAGTTCCCGTTACAGTTATCATCGTTATAGTTCCCTCGTTATAGTTCCCGTTACAGTTATCATCGTTATAGTTACCTTTACAGTTATCATCGTTATAGTTACCGTTACAGTTATCATCGTTATAGTTCCCGTTACAGTTATCATCGTTATAGTTACCGTTACAGTTATCATCGTTATAGTTCCCGTTACCATCGTTATAGTTCCCGTTACAGTTATCATCGTTATAGTTACCGTTACAGTTATCATCGTTATAGTTACCGTTACAGTTATCATCGTTATAGTTCCCGTTACCATCGTTATAGTTCCCGTTACAGTTATCATCGTTATAGATACCGTTACAGTTATCATCGTTATAGTTCACGTTACAGTTATCATCGTTATAGTTCCCGTTACAGTTATAATCGCTATAGTTCCCGTTACAGTTACCACCGTTATAGTTACCGTTACAGTAATCATAGTTATTGTTACCGTTACAGTTATCATAGTTATAGTTCCCGTTACAGTTATCATCGTTATAGTTCCCGTTACAGTAATCATCGTTATATTTCCTGTTACAGTTATCATCGTTATAGTTACCGTTAAAGTTATCATAGTTATAGTTACCGTTACAGTTATCATAGTTATAGTTACCGTTATCATCGTTATAGTTCCCGTTACAGTAATCATCGTTATAGTTCCCGTTACAGTTACAGTTATCATCGTTATAGTTCCCGTTACAGTTATCATCATTATAGTTACCGTTACAGTTATCATCGTTATAGTTCCCGTTATCATCGTTATAGTTCCCGATACAGTTATCATCGTTATAGTTACTGTTACAGTTATCATCGTTATAGTTACTGTTACAGTTATCATCGTTATAGTTACCGTTACAGTTATCATCGTTATTGTTACTGTTACAGTTATCATCATTATAGTTACCGTTACAGTTATCATCGTTATAGTTCCCGTTATCATCGTTATAGTTCCCGATACAGTTATCATCGTTATAGTTACTGTTACAGTTATCATCGTTATAGTTACCGTTACAGTTATCATCGTTATAGTTACTGTTACAGTTATCATCGTTATAGTTACTGTTACAGTTATCATCGTTATAGTTACTGTTACAGTTATCATCGTTATAGTTACTGTTACAGTTATCATCGTTATAGTTACCGTTACAGTTATCATCGTTATAGTTACCGTTACAGTTATCATCGTTATAGTTACCGTTACAGTTATCATCGTTATAGTTCCCGTTACAGTAATCATCGTTATAGTTACTGTTACATATAGTTACTGTTACAGTTATCATCATTATAGTTACTGTTACAGTTATCATCATTATAGTTACCGTTACAGTTATCATCGTTATAGTTACTGTTACAGTTATCATCGTTATAGTTACCGTTACAGTAATCATCGTTATAGTTACTGTTACATATAGTTACTGTTACAGTTATCATCATTATAGTTACTGTTACAGTTATCATCGTTATAGTTACCGTTACAGTTATCATCGTTATAGTTACTGTTACAGTTATCATCATTATAGTTACCGTTACAGTTATCATCGTTATAGTTACCGTTACAGTTATCATCGTTATAGTTACCGTTACAGTTATCATCGTTATAGTTACCGTTACAGTTATCATCGTTATAGTTACCGTTACAGTTATCATCGTTATAGTTACCGTTACAGTTATCATCGTTATAGTTACCGTTACAGTTATCATCGTTATAGTTACCGTTACAGTTATCATCGTTATAGTTACCGTTACAGTTATCATCGTTATAGTTACCGTTACAGTTATCATCGTTATAGTTACCGTTACTGAAAAGGAGGTTTGAGAGGGATGTGCAGGTAGCTGGCTTGAGACCAGTGGAGGTGTCGGTAAGAACAGTCTAGTCCAGTCACTTTAATTCCACAATGCCTTTCTTTATTAGGTATGTTTGTGTAATGTGTGTGTGTATGTGTGGTTTCTAAAAGGGAAATGATATGAGATACAATTAGCTACATAATGCCACAATACAAGGCCACAATCCATTTGAATGACAATCAAACATTTGTACATTTAAACAGACAGAAAGGAACAGTCTCATAAAGTAACATACGATCAAAAGAGAAACGTATGGAACTTACATAGTTCAATAACGCACACAGGGCAGGAGACAAGGCATTTCCAGCAGCAACATACAAGGATTCCTCCATGTGGCAGGAACAAAGAGAAAGGGCTGTGCACAGGTGCTGTCTAATAAAGTCTGTGGCTGATTGGAGCTAATTAGCTGAAGGTGTGGGGAACTGCATGGGGAACTGAGTGGCAAAGAAAAAATGGGCGTGGCAACTGCAGGACAGACAGGAAACTTCCAAACAGCCGCCCCCAAATTTGTCTTGCAAATTTGCTTGAGTGGAAGGTCATGGGGGTTCAGGTAGGGCAGGGAGTGGGATGAGGCGGGCAACAGGTCTCGTGTACTGTTTGTCCCCCACCTGGACATCTGCAACCCTACAATGGCCATCCTTGCCGGGATGAAGGGAAATCACTTTACCTACTGGCCAGAGGGACCGAGGGAGCTGAGGGTCAAGAATGAGAACAACAGTGTTTAGTTGGAGGTTAGGATTATCAGTGCGCCACTTCTGTCTAGACTGGAGAGAAGGAAGATAATTTCTGAGGAAGTGAGCCCAAAAATGATCAGAAAGAATCTGACTATGACGCCACTGACGGCGGCTGCGCAGCTCAGAGTCAGGATACGTTACCAAAGGAAGGGAAGAGTCATGCCGCCCCATGAGCAACAGGTTAGGAGTCACCGGATCAGGATCCGCAATGTCAGAAGAGACATAACCTAGGGGCTTTGAATTGAGGATACCTTCAATTTCAATCATCACTGTGCGTAGCACCTCTTCAGTGACAGCTTGGGCACCTAGAGTGGTCTGCAGGGCAATCTTGATGGAACGTATTTCACGCTCCCACGTCCCGCCGAAGTGGGGTGCGTGTGGGGGGTTGAACTTGAAGGAGATCCTCTGTTTGGCCAGGATTTCCTGGAGGTCAGGGGTCAGGGATTGGTAGACTTCCTGTAGCTCTCTGTTGCCTCCGATGAAATTGGTACCTCTGTCAGAAAGCAGCTCAAAAGGTTTGCCTCTGCGAGCTATAAAGCGCCTTAGTGCCATTAGAAAGGAATCGGTGTTCATGTGACTGAGTAAATCTAGATGTACACACCTAGTTGTCAGACATTTGAAAATAATTCCCCACCTTTTCTCAACTCGTCGTCCAACTTTCACACTGTAGGGCCCGAAACAATCTATCCCGGTGGAATAGAAGGGAGGTTTGCGGAGGCGTAGGCGAGCAGGAGGAAGATCGGCCATTTGGGGGATAAGGGGTTTGGCACGGAACTGCCTGCACTTAGCACATCTGTGCTGGTGTTTCCTGACAGCCTCACGACCCCTCAGGATCCAGAATCGCCTCCTCAGCTCAGCGAATAGCCTCTCGGGACCAGAATGATGTAGGTGGTCATCACAATGTTTAATTATAAGTTTCGTGGTCGGATGGGCAGGGTCCAGGACAACTGGATGTATGGCATCAGGGGGCAGGTCATTGCTTTGTCGTAACCTTCCGCCTACTCGAATGAGACCTGACACTGGATCTAGTTCCGGAGCAAGGGAAAGAAGACGACTGGAATGTGGAAGGGGTTTGTGGGTCTGAAGGCATGCCAAATCATTTCCAAAGGAATCCAGCTGGGTCTGTCTCAGGATTGCAATCTCTGCGTCAAGGTAGGTTTCTGCCGATGGTGTTGCAGGAGGTTCTGCCACCCCATGATGGGATGCAGCAGTAGAGTCAAGGAGATCCTGAAAGGTGGTGAACTGGGTAGGGTCAGAGATCGAGGGATTTTGGCAAAGAAATACAGCACCACAGAAACTGGGCTTACGTAGCTCGACAGGATCTTCGGCCTGATCTATTGTGGGGTTAGTTGGCCACAGGTCAGGGGGTTGCAGGAGGAAGGCAGGTCCTTGGTTCCACCTGCAAGGCTTACTTAGATCAGACAGCTGCTTCCCTCTAGTCAGATCGTCAGCTGGGTTGTTTCGGGAATCCACATAGCGCCATTCCTGGCTTTTGGTGAGTTCCTGGATTTCAGCCACTCTGGTTCCAACAAAGACCTTATAGCGGCATGAGTCTGAGAGAAGCCAATAGAGGAAGGTGGTAGAGTCACTCCATAAAGTAGCCCGTCTGATGTTGAGGGTGAGCTCTGTTCGGAGGAGAGGTGTGGCATACCGTAGGACGTCATCAACAGGAATTCGGATGGTTTGAGTCTCCAGCTGATGAATTGCATCTTGGTCCTGTTTAGAGCGGACAACCAATTTTGTGTTCGTCGGAGGCACTGTGTCCAGCTGCCACAGTTTTTGCACATTGTGGTGGATGTCATCAGGTGGGCATTTAAAGGAGATATAGTGACACTTGGTGGAGGGAGAGCTAACAAGATCTCTAGCAGGGCCCTGTAACGTCCAGCCGAGACGGGTTTTGATTGCTACAGGGGCTCCGGGGGGGCCTAACTTTACAGGCAGTGTTGGAGTGATAAGGTGGGTATGATCAGCTCCTATGAGTAGAAGGGGGCTTACGTTATCATGCTGCTTCAAGGGAATCTGCCGGAGATGAATGTAGCGCCGCTGGAGGGATTTCACAGGATGAGAATGTTCGGATAAGGAAAGCTGATCAGCAGTGAAGGCATGCCTGATGGCATAGGATTTCTCTGGATGGGCCTTTGGAATAATGGTGAAGGACACGGCGGCACCATTTAGAGTCTGGACATCCTGTCTCACAGTCCTCAGCTTCAGGCTCTCAGACTCTCCTACCAACTGGAGCTTCTGGGCGGCGGGATGCAGGAGGATCGTACGTTCTGACCCATCATCCAATATGGCATACGTGTCTAAGGACTTGTTTCCATTACGTAGGGTCACTTCAACTACCTTCAGCAGCACTTTATTGCAATCGCTAGGATGGTCTAGGTAGAAGTTCTGCACTTGCCTCTGGTTGATGTTGCATAGGACCTGCAGATGTTTCCCATTGCATTGGTTGCAGCGTCCCTTCAGATCACACTGGTCTGCAAAGTGGTCTCGTGCACATCGCCAGCAGCGTTTCTGTCCTTTGATCCAACTAGTTCTCTGATCTTCAGTGAGCTGGAGGAAGTCATCACATTTACTGACATGATGTTCAGGGGAGTTACAGTAAGCACACACTGGACAGCGTGTGGATGTGATGTTGGGGGGAAACTGACTGGCTCTAGGAGGAGCTATCTGGACTTTAGGGGAGGTCATTTGGGAAGTCTTGCTACCATGAAGTATAGCTGTAGCTCTGAATGGGTGAAAGGGTGGTGGCCTTGGTCGGACAGGCTGAAGGGTTCTCTCCCTTCTGGGCTGGCAGCGGGTTTCCTGTTGCAACCAGGAGGAGAAATCTAGGAGGTTATAGGAAAGGGGACCTGGTTTGGTCAAACTCATGCTTCTCTTAAACTGACAAAAGTGCTCACTGGGTAGTTTTTCTAGTAGCCGCTCGACATGTGAGCCACAGGTAAGCTCGGAGAGACCTTCACGGCCCATGGACTGAAGGAGACCCACTAAGGCTTGTACTCTAAGGGAAAACTGATCTAGGCCTCTACCATCCCCTAGCCGGATAGCAGGCATCTCCATTATAGCCCGGAGCTCTCTCAGGGCAAGCTGTCTGGGTTGGCCATAACGCTCATCTAGGGCCCGAATAGCTTGAGTGTAGGGATCTTGGGCATAAACATAAGCTAAGGCAAGTCGCTTCGCCTGATCTACCTTTAAGTGATCCAGTAAGATATGATATTTATACTGCTCCGACTCTCTTGGGTCCAACAGGTTGGATAGGGCCATCTTTAACATCATATACTGACTTTCATCCTCTCTAGTAAGATCAGGGAATGAGGGACCTTCTACCTTGCTATATGACTGCAATCGGCCAGAAGGGGGAGCTAAATGGCTTGGTGGGGCTGCAGAAATAAGCTGGTGAGGTTGCACATTGCTGAGCTGGTATGCTGGCTGGGCAGAGTGGGCCATAGCTCTAGGCGAAATTTGAGGTGACAACATGTAGGCTGGGAGCAAGGGGTTATGTGAGACTGGGACTTGACAGGTGGCAAGGAAATGACTATGGTCAGAAAGATTCGTGTGCTGCCAGGGCTGAGCTAAGGGCTGAATGGCAGGGGCACGGCTTACAGGAGGTGGATAAGGAAGCTGCTGCCGAGGTGGGGAAGAAAAGGGCTTATAGTCACTTGTGGTAGCCTGGGGTGGTATTGCGGCATGCTGGGCTTGTGATGCTACCAACTGAGGGCCGAGGTTTTCAGGGGATGGTCCTGAAAGAGACCGTGGGTGGCGGCCTTCACCAAGCATACAGCGCTGGATTAGTCTACCTTGATTTCTTACTTCTTCTAGTAACTGCTGTAAGAGCTCAGTTTGAGGGTCAGGAATTGGGGCTACATGAGGGTCATGTGGGTACTCAGGGGCTAGGGCTCTCCCAAAAGAGACAGGTGAGGGAGGCTCTGTTGCTGGCTCTTCCTCTTCCTCACTGGGTAGTTGAGGTGGCTCTTCATCCTCCTCAGACTCATGCTGTGGTTGATACTGAGGTCCAACACCAAAAATGTCTGCAGAGTGAAGCGGTGGTGGCTCTGGTGTTTCAGCAGGATGTCGTGGCTGCTGACCATATTCCATGACGTAATCATCATAGCGTACAGGACGCTGGGCTTGGCGGTGAGGACGCTGAAGTAACGAAGGCAAGGAGTGACTGGACATATCCACCGATCATCAATGGGCTCTGGCTCGAAGGACCATGAAAAGGAGGTTTGAGAGGGATGTGCAGGTAGCTGGCTTGAGACCAGTGGAGGTGTCGGTAAGAACAGTCTAGTCCAGTCACTTTAATTCCACAATGCCTTTCTTTATTAGGTATGTTTGTGTAATGTGTGTGTGTATGTGTGGTTTCTAAAAGGGAAATGATATGAGATACAATTAGCTACATAATGCCACAATACAAGGCCACAATCCATTTGAATGACAATCAAACATTTGTACATTTAAACAGACAGAAAGGAACAGTCTCATAAAGTAACATACGATCAAAAGAGAAACGTATGGAACTTACATAGTTCAATAACGCACACAGGGCAGGAGACAAGGCATTTCCAGCAGCAACATACAAGGATTCCTCCATGTGGCAGGAACAAAGAGAAAGGGCTGTGCACAGGTGCTGTCTAATAAAGTCTGTGGCTGATTGGAGCTAATTAGCTGAAGGTGTGGGGAACTGCATGGGGAACTGAGTGGCAAAGAAAAAATGGGCGTGGCAACTGCAGGACAGACAGGAAACTTCCAAACAGTTACAGTTATCATCGTTATAGTTCCCGTTACAGTAATCATCGTTATAGTTACTGTTACAGTTATCATCGTTATAGTTACTGTTACAGTTATCATCGTTATAGTTACTGTTACAGTTATCATCATTATAGTTACTGTTACAGTTATCATCGTTATAGTTACCGTTACAGTTATCATCGTTATAGTTACCGTTACAGTTATCATCGTTATAGTTACTGTTACAGTTATCATCGTTATAGTTACCGTTACAGTTATCATCGTTATAGTTACTGATACAGTTATCATCGTTATAGTTACTGTTACAGTTATCATCGTTATAGCTCCCGTTACACACACACACACACACACACACACACACACACACACACACACACACACACACACACACACACGCGCACACACACACACACACACACACACACACACACACACACACACACACACACACACACACACACACACACACACACAGAGGTGCTCTGGGTGGTTGCTAAAGTGTTGCTATGTGGTTGCTTGGGTGAACAGGACGTGTGTTGTGTTTCCATGTCGTACCCGTGACTAACAGCGATCCGGTGCTGTTGGCTCGGCCTCGGTCGTTCTCTGCGAAGCACGTGTATCTGCCTTCGTCTGATTTAGTGACGTTGAGCAGCTCTAAACTCCCGTCCGGCCAGATGAAAACCCTGCATGAGAAAGGAAAGGCTTTATTTGAGCAGGACGTGACGAGAGCCAAGTCAAGTCAAGTCTCCTTTATTTATATAGTGCTTTTTACAATGCAGATTGTTACAGAGATAACAGGAAAATAATGTTAACTTAACTCAGTTAACTTCAAATTAAAGGAACTTTCAAGAACTTTCCAGGTCCAATACCCTCAAACTTAAGGACTCAATGTGGGGACATTTCAAGTGAGAGCAAGGTTACATCGTGTCACCTTCTTGCACAAAATAAATTTAAGCACTTTCAAGGACCTGTATCTGTGTGTGTTTATTATAAAAAACTTTCCTGGGCCTTGACATTTTTTTTTTATAGATTCACGAACTCTCGTTCCCAAAACGTTTTGGGACCCCTGGTGGTGAGAGATGCGTGACCTCTGACCTGCTGGAGTTGTGCAGGAGCTCGGTTCCTTTGCTCCAGGTGATGCTGGGTCTCGGAGCCGCTCTGGGTCTGCAGTCGAACACCACACGCCCGTTTCTGGCCCCCAGGAGTTTAGCTTTCACTGGGTTCCACTCGAACGACGGAGCGCCGGCTGAGAAACAACACAACACACACAGTCAATGGAGGAACATCTGCATCTGAGGCTCCAGCAGAGCCCTAAAGCTCCCGGTGACCTCTGACCCGGTCAACCAATCAGAGTTAGCTCACCGAACACGCGGAGCTCGGCGTTGGCGTAGATCACGCCGTGACGGTTCTCAGCGATACACTGATACATGCCCGAATCCTCAAACGCCAGGTCCGTGAAGCGCAACTCGTGGTTCTTGGCGTGCTGATGGAGAGAACGAAGAACAGATTCATCCGCAACACTCACACTCAACGCTTTCATTAATAAAATACCACCAACATCATATTCCTATTGCTTATCATCAGCCTCTGAGAACCAGCAATGAGAAGAAGCTCAACATTATAACAAACTTAGTTTTCAATGAAAAATTTAGAAAAAACTTACAAATCATTTTTACTGTATATATATAAACAACTTAATAATTCATTTGATTAGATAAAACCAGAAGATAAAAAACAGAAAAAATAAAAACAGTTAAATTAATAAATAATGCAGTGCAAATCCATAATTTAATGCAAATTAATTCTAATAAATAAATAAATAAAATATTAGATTTACCTGTCTTTAGTTTTTCATTTTGATGTTTTTTTTATTTAATCAAATTAATTAATCAAACATATTGTTTTATATATATATATATATAAAAAACTAAAAACAGGTAAATTAATAACTGATGCCGTACAAAACCATTATTGAATATTAATTAATTCTAATAAGTGAATAAATAAAGTATGTGTTCATTTATTAATTTTATTAAATAAAATAATAAAAACAATAATACAAAGTCATGAAATTAAAATAAAATATTACAAGTTAATATAAATACTGTGAAGACACTGATAATCTGTCAGGCATTATTATTCCGCCAGAAGTCATGTTTGATTAGCATTTTGCGAGTCGCTGGTCGCTAACACACTTCAGGTGTCTGTGTGAGAACCATCTGCTGTGCCTTATGTAACCAGGAGCATGATGGGAAGGCTCGCTCCAGACGGGAACACAGCCAGCCTTCGACCTCCACAAACACACTCATTCATTACACTGATCAACTTCAGCAGTTTACAAACGCATTTTCCTAATCTAAACGCTTTCTGACATCTGTATCGACAGCAAACTGGGAAGATCCCGAGTTCCTGAAGCTGTGAGAGCAGAGGATGACGCCAGAAAGGTTTGATTCGTGTGTTAAACCCTGAATGCAGGATCAGTCACTCGGAATGAAAGCATTTGCCAAAAGCACGACAGCTCCTGCTCACAATGATCCGAGTATAAATGCCAGACCAAAAGAACGATTCAGCCGTTCTGCATCAGCCAGTACTCTGGAGTTTCCTCAGTTCTGCTATAATAAAGCCGTACCATTCGCCCGTTCTTCAGGAAGTGCACGTGGGGTTTGGGTTTCCCGCTGGACACACAGGACATGATGTAATCGCCTCCGATGTCCCTCTCCGAGCTGCGGATCTTCTCCACCCATTCAGGAGCTCCTGAGACACACACACACACACACATACGGACACACACACACACACGGACACACAGACACACACACGGACACACAGACACACACACGGACACACAGACACACACACACACACACACACAGACAGGACCATTTGTTATGTTTTTTTGTGTGTCATTCACAGTGTTGGGGAAAGTTACTTTGAAAAGTAATGCATTACAATATTGCATTACTCCCCCAAAAAGTAACTAATTACTTGTTTTTATATAACAACAAAAAAAGTTATATTTTTGGCAAATATTAAGGCCTTTCACACCAAAAGTTAAGTGAATAAGCCTCAGGCTGAAGGAAACGCATATTTACTCCTGTACAGTAGAGGTAGAGTACAGTAGAGGTAGAGTACATTAGAGGTAGAGTACAGTAGAGTACAGTAGAGTACAGTAGAGGTAGAGTACAGTAGAGTGCAGTAGAGTACAGTAGAGTACAGTAGAGGTAGAGTACAGTAGAGTACAGTAGAGGTAGAGTACAGTAGAGGTGGAGTACAGTAGAGTACAGTAGAGTACAGTAGAGTACAGTAGAGGTAGAGTACAGTAGAGGTATAGTACAGTAGAGGTAGAGTACAGTAGAGTACAGTAGAGGTCGAGTACATTAGAGGTAGAGTACAGTAGAGTACAGTAGAGTACAGTAGAGGTAGAGTACAGTAGAGTGCAGTAGAGTACAGTAGAGTACAGTAGAGGTAGAGTACAGTAGAGTACAGTAGAGGTAGAGTACAGTAGAGGTAGAGTACATTAGAGTACAGTAGAGGTAGAGTACAGTAGAGTACATTAGAGTACAGTAGAGGTAGAGTACAGTAGAGTACAGTAGAGTACAGTACAGTAGAGTACAGTAGAGGTAGAGTACAGTAGAATACAGTAGAGGTGGAGTACAGTAGAGTACAGTAGAGTACAGTAGAGTACAGTAGAGGTAGAGTACAGTAGAGGTATAGTACAGTACAGGTAGAGTACAGTAGAGGTAGAGGACAGTACAGGTAGAGTACAGTAGAGGTAGAGGACAGTACAGGTAGAGTACAGTAGAGGTAGAGGACAGTAGAGGTAGAGTACAGTAGAGGTAGAGTACAGGTAGAGTACAGTAGAGGCAGAGTACAGTAGAGGTAGAGTACAGTACAGGTAGAGTACAGTAGAGTACAGTAGAGGTAGAGTGCAGTAGAGTACAGTAGAGGTAGAGTACAGTAGAGTACAGTAGAGTACAGTAGAGGTAGAGTACAGTAGAGGTAGAGTGCAGAGTACAGTAGAGGTAGAGTACAGTAGAGTACAGTAGAGGTAGATTACAGGTAGAGTGCAGTAGAGTGCAGTAGAGGTAGAGTACAGTAGAATACAGTAGAGGTGGAGTACAGTAGAGTACAGTAGAGGTAGAGTACAGTAGAATACAGTAGAGGTGGAGTACAGTAGAGTACAGTAGAGTACAGTAGAGTACAGTAGAGGTAGAGTACAGTAGAGGTATAGTACAGTAGAGGTAGAGGACAGTACAGGTAGAGTACAGTAGAGGTAGAGTACAGTAGAGGTAGAGGACAGTACAGGTAGAGTACAGTAGAGGTAGAGGACAGTACAGGTAGAGTACAGTAGAGGTAGAGGACAGTAGAGGTAGAGTACAGTAGAGGTAGAGTACAGGTAGAGTACAGTAGAGGCAGAGTACAGTAGAGGTAGAGTACAGTACAGGCAGAGTACAGTAGAGTACAGTAGAGGTAGAGTGCAGTAGAGTACAGTAGAGGTAGAGTACAGTAGAGTACAGTAGAGTACAGTAGAGGTAGAGTACAGTAGAGGTAGAGTGCAGAGTACAGTAGAGGTAGAGTACAGTAGAGTACAGTAGAGGTAGATTACAGGTAGAGTGCAGTAGAGTACAGTAGAGGTAGAGTACAGTAGAGTACAGGTAGAGCACAGTAGATTACAGTAGAGGTAGAGTACAGTAGAGGTAGAGTACAGTAGAGTACAGTAGAGTTAGAGTACAGGTAGAGTACAGTAGAGGTAGAGTGCAGTAGAGGTAGAGTACAGTAGAGTACAGGTAGAGCACAGTAGATTACAGTAGAGGTAGAGTACAGTAGAGGTAGAGTACAGTAGAGTACAGTAGAGTTAGAGTACAGGTAGAGTACAGTAGAGGTAGAGTGCAGTAGAGGTAGAGTACAGTAGAGGTAGAGTGCAGTAGAGGTAGAGTACAGTAGAGGTAGAGTACAGTAGAGTACAGTAGAGTTAGAGTACAGGTAGAGTACAGTACAGGTAGAGTACAGTAGAGTTAGAGTACAGTAGAGTACAGTAGAGGTAGAGTGCAGTAGAGTGCAGTAGAGGTAGAGCACAGTAGATTACAGTAGAGGTAGAGTACAGTAGATTTAGAGTACAGTAGAGTACAGTAGAGGTAGAGAACAGTAGAGTACAGTAGAGGTAGAGCACAGTAGATTACAGTAGAGGTAGAGTACAGTAGATTTAGAGTACAGTAGAGTACAGTAGAGGTAGAGTACAGTAGAGTACAGTAGAGTACAGCACACTAGATGTAGAGTACAGTAGAGTGCAGTAGAGGTAGAGTACAGTGGAGTACAGTAGAGGTAGAGTATGTTAGAGTACAGTAGAGGTAGAGTACAGTAGAGTGCAGTAGAGTACAGTAGAGTACAGTAGAGTACAGTAGAGTACAGTAGAGTACAGTAGAGGTAGAGTACAGTAGAGTACAGTAGAGGTTGAGTACAGTAGAGGTAGAGTACAGTAGAGTACAGTAGAGGTAGAGTACAGTAGAGTACAGTAGAGGTAGAGTACAGTAGAGATAGAGTACAGTAGAGCACAGTAGAGGTAGAGTACAGTAGATCACAGTAGATGTAGAGTACAGTAGAGGTAGAGTACAGTAGAGGTAAAGTACAGTACAGTAGAGTACAGTACAGTAGAGGTAGAGTACAGTAGAGTACAGTAGAAGTAGAGTACAGTAGAGGTAGAGTACAGTAGAGTACAGAAGAGGTAGAGTACGGTAGAGTGCAGTAGAGTACAGTAGAGCTAGAGTACAGCAGATCACAGTAGAAGTAGAGTACAGTAGAGGTAGAGTACAGTAGAGTGCAGTAGAGTACAGTAGAGTACAGTAGAGGTAGAGTACAGTAGAGGTAAAGTACAGTACAGTAGAGTACAGTACAGTAGAGGTAGAGTACAGTAGAGTACAGTAGAAGTAGAGTACAGTAGAGGTAGAGTACAGTAGAGTACAGAAGAGGTAGAGTACGGTAGAGTGCAGTAGAGTACAGTAGAGCTAGAGTACAGCAGATCACAGTAGAAGTAGAGTACAGTAGAGGTAGAGTACAGTAGAGTGCAGTAGAGTACAGTAGAGCTAGAGTACAGTAGATCACAGTAGATGTAGAGTACAGTAAAGGTAGAGTACAGTAGAGGTAGAGTACAGTACAGTAGAGTACAGTACAGTAGAGGTAGAGTACAGTAGAGTACAGTAGAAGTAGAGTACAGTAGAGGTAGAGTACAGTAGAGTACAGAAGAGGTAGAGTACAGTAGAGGTAGAGTACAGTAGAGTACAGTAGAAGTAGAGTACAGTAGAGTACAGTAGAGTACAGAAGAGGTAGAGTACAGTAGAGGTAGAGTACAGTAGAGTACAGTAGAGTACAGTAGAAGTATAGTACAGTAGAGTACAGTACAGTACAGTAGAGGTAGAGTACAGTAGAGTACAGTAGAGGGCGCCGCTCAAGCAAACCTTTCAGCTGCTGTTCTGGATTAAAGAACAATAGGAGACAGGAGAAGGCAGTTCAACACTCTTATATCTAAATCTAATCTAAAGCTTATTAGTATGGTTGAATTAGATCTTGAAGGTCAGCAGCAGAGAAATTGGTTAATAAAGTAAGATTAAATACATAAAGTATATTTGTGTAATTTAATATAGTTAATTATAAAAGTTTTGTGTAAAATTCTGAGATTGCATTTGACTGTTTTAATACATTTTGAGGAATACTGAATGTTTTCGTCCAAGTGTGACGAGGAAATGCATGTTCACATTTAGTCTAGAACTACAATAACCATCATGTTTACACACAACACACACCACACACACATCCTCACTTTATTTCTCTAAACATGGGGACAGGAGAGCTGTCAGTCAATAAATGTGAAAAGTACTGTGTTACTTCCCTAGTTACTTGAAAAAGTAATCTGATTACGTAACTCAAGTTACTTGTAATGAGTTTCCCCAACACTGGTCATTCACTCTGTTTCCAGAATAAACTCTTGCTCAGGAGCGTCTCAGTAGCGAGGTCATGTGACTCACCCTCCACGTGCAGGTGTGTTCTGTGCCAGTCTTTGCCTTTGGAGTTGTCGGCCTCACACTCGAACAGACCCTCGTCCTCATACTGCATATCGTAGAGATGGAGGAGTGTTCCCGCCATACTGATGTCATGACGACGGGCCGGCAGCTCGCCATCCACCTTCCTCCAGCGGATCTGAGGGATGGGGCTGAACACACACACACACACACACACACACACACACACACACACACACACGCACGCGCACGCACGCACGCACGCACACACACACACACACGCGCACACACACACACAAACACATGCGCACGCACACACACACAAAACAGCCACATTCTGTCATGACAACTCTCGGGAGATTGGCATGGTAAGGCAAGGCAAGGCAAGTTTATTTATATAGCACATTTCATACACAATGGTAATTCAAAGTGCTTTACATAGAAAAATCAAAAGAAATAAGAATAATTAAAACAGTTAAGAATAAAGAAATTAAAATAATCAAAAGAAATAAGAATAATTAAAACAGTTTAGAATAAAAAATTAAATAAAATACAGTAAAAACAGTCGGACGGACAGTGGCACAGTGCTCATTCAGTAAATGCATAGCTAAACAGATGTGTTTTGAGTCTGGATTTGAATGTGACTACTGTAGGAGCACATCTGATCTCCTCTGGAAGCTGGTTCCAGCATAATAGCTAAAAGCAGACTCGCCATGCTTAGAGTGAACCCTTGGTATTTCTAGCTGATGTGATCCTAATGATCTGAGTGATCTGTTGGGTTTATATTCAGTGAGCATCATGTCATCATGGTAATAGAGATTGACAATGTTAATGTATTTGGTCTTGGTGGAATAGCTCTGCTGCAGTGCAAGTACATTCACAGACATTGATGTGAATGAACCCCGTAGCAGATCTACACAGGTGGAGCTGGGGAAGGGGGAGGGTTTCTGAAAGTGTGCTGCAGACGTAACAGCAAACAATGCCAAGAATTTGAATGTTTGAGCAGCAAGCTCATTGGTCGCTGATGCAACAGCAACCAATCAGCTGTGCTAAATAGATAACGACATGATTGCTACCAATCAGTAAAAGACCTATCAGCATGCAGCATTCAGAGTTTCATGCCAGAACTTTGTAATTGTGTCAATCAGCTATAGATGAAGAAACGGCTGCAAGAGGATGAAAACACACGCAGGACGTTTGAACAACTCTCTGAACGTTAAAAACATCCAGCTTTCGAAAGGTTTTAAACATGTTTCTTCTTGGTTATGTGAACATAAAAGGAAAACTGCATTTCATCATTCTTCAATCATTATGGGAATGTTACATTTGAATGTTCTCTGAACGTTCTGAAACAAGGAGTTACATTTTTGAAAAAACGTTTCATGAATGACATATAAATGTTAAAGGCCAGATAATTTTGAATGAACGTTATATTAATGTTCCTAGAAGAACGTTTGTTTGTAACGTTGAGAGAACCTTGCCAGAACGTTCCCTGTTCGCTGTGGATTCAGAATGCAAATATTACAGTGATGTCACTGATAGGATGTTCAGTATTCAAAATAACATCAGTGTCGCTCGATGGGAGATTTCCTCCATCTGAACTTCAAGAAGTTTATAAAGAGCAGTTCTAATGCGGAAAAGATCTACAAAATGCAGTTTGAATGGAAAATGATTAAAAACTGAAATATTTGCAGAAAATTGTGCTGAATAATGAAGCATTTAAGAGAAATGATTGAGGCGGTGCTTTTGCAAACAGCAGAAATCATGTGGTTGGCTTATTTTCTTACTTTCCCAGCGCGAAGCACTCGAGCGTGACGTTCTGCCCCGTCAGCGCGAAGATGTCTGGAGATTTGACTTTGATGTCAGCGGGATATTTCCTCAGAGTACCTGATGGAGAGCAGATACGAGACACGTGAATGGCGAGACTCTCTCAGTAGAGCTCCTGATCTGAGACTCAGAACACACTCATGATGTTGTGACAGTCACGGACGTCTGTAATATCACACACACACACGCAAGACGGCGCAGGAGAACTGGGGACGAAATTAACTTACAGACGATCACCAGCTGATTTATTACATTCAGAAATTAAAAGTCTTTTATTGCAATTTTAATTATGTACTAATTTGCATGCATTTCCATAAAATTTACCTGAACATTGGATAAAGCCCGGTTCAAAATTCCTGTTTGATTTTGTTGACATATTAGAGTTAAAAGTTTTTATAGAGGGGATTTTGGATTTCTCTCTTTAAAACTTCATAAATTAAAAAATACTGTCAACAGATGGGAAAAAAAAATACATTTTTACCTCGTTTTTAAGAATAAAATGTTATATAAATCAAGGCAAATGATATATGAACAAACCCCTCAGTAAAAACCTTCAGAATATAGATATGAATAAAACTGTAAATTTTGAAGTATGTAAGTGCTGCTGAAGTGGAGGAAAAACTCATTTTGTGAAAACAACCTTTAAAGATATGTATTAAAATCTACCGACGCAAATAGATAAAGTGAATAAAATAGACACTTAAATGTGTTTTGGATGTTTTTTTCCCACTAGTCTGAAAGAAGAAATGATATAGAAGCAAAGTAGAATTGACATGAAATATATGTCTTAAATATATATATATATACACTGTATTGATTGCACTGAGACATACTGTAATGTTCAGAGCTCAAATTTCCTCTCCAGTTCAAAACAACATTTATTGAAACTAAACAGCAGAAAGGACTCATTTTTCTGATATCACACAGAAGAACATCAACTATTGAGTGATCAGAAACTCTGAACAAACACGCGTGTGAAAGCTTGAGCTGTTCATCTGCTCATATTATGACAGATATGATTTTTTTAAGCAGATTATTTGAGCATGAACAGACCTAAAATAAGAACCAGCTCACTTCAGAAACCACAGACGGTGTGTTTTCTTTCAGATCTTCTGTCAGTTTTAACACTATCGAGTGGTTTCTGCATCAGAGGATCTAACATGAAGTAATGTAAAAATAGCATTAGTAAAGGCAGTAATATTTCTGCAAGCGCATGTGTTTCCAGCATGACCTGCGAAGGACTCACGCTCTGAAATTCTGGAATTGAATACTTGAGGTCAGGAATCGGATACTTGTTATAAAATTTAAATTTCGATTCCTCTTATCGATTCCTTTGTGAGCATTTCAATATAACTTTAACGTTGTTTTTCTATGGTGTTTTTAAACCACAGGCACACGTTCAAATGTAAGTGTTATTTAGCCTGTTGATTTTTGTTCATGATATTCAGCTACAATTAAATGTTTTGCAATAAGGGTTAGGGTTAGGGTTAGGTGATTTAGAAGGGTTGTTTTTTACCTTATTGGAATGGAAATAAGGAATCGATAACAATCGGAATCGTTAAAATTCAAACGATACCCCACCCTGAGGACAGTGATATTTCTGCAAGCGCTTGTGTTTCCAGCATGAACTGGGAGACTCACGCTCGGCGATGGGCACCAGTGGGATGAACTTGCTGAAGACGCTCTTGGCGATGGACGGGCTGGAGACGAAACAGGAGTAGTTCCCGCTGTCCGGCGCTCGGACCGTGGAGATGTAGAGGTTCCCGGTGGACTGAGACACGAACCGACGCTTGTCCTGAGGAATGAAATCCGGAAACTCATTCAGAATCCAGCGGAAGGACAGGTCCTCTGCAGAGACAGGAAGTGACATCACACGCGTGTTACTAATGTGTCCGTCAAACGCATCGATGACTGCAGATCGAAACAAATCTTTTCTATATCTCCTATTCTAAAAATATGTAAACTGATTAAGATAAAAGAATGTCTTGTGAAAACGTGTGTGTGAAGAAATAGAAAGATCTGTAAACTTCTGTTTGATGTTAAATGTCTTTGTATGTTGTATGAAAGTACAAAAAGGTTGCCATGGTAACTCTCTAAATTACTGGCAATATATATGGATTAACCCCCCCCCCCCCAATTAATTTTTTTGAATTTTATTTATGTTATTATTATGTTGTTTACGATATGCTGCTTGGTCTTACTGTTAAGGTGTTTAACAACAATAATATGTTAATGCCTGTTTGTTATTTGAAATGATTTAATAAAGTAAAAAAAAAAAAAAAGAGAGAGAAAAAAAAGGTTGCTATGGTAACCTGGGAAGTGTGGGGGCGGGTCACACAGAAGCACCGCCCCCTGCCCCTCCCTCACAGAGACCGCCTCCCTCTCGTCAGTGGAGAACATGTCCAAGTCTGAAACAACACAACAGAGTTTAATTAACTCCACACATCACTTTCACAGACAACAGCAGTAAAACTGCACAGAACACACTTTTGAGTCATAATTCAGCAGAAAGAGCACAAGAGTCTCTGAAGTCTGACAGCGGAAATTAATATCCGTCAAGCGCTGAACAATAACGGCTCTGTGTGTGTGTGTGTGTGTGTGTAAGAGAGTGTATGTGTGTGTGAGAGAGTGTATGTGTGTGTGTGTGTGAGTGAGTGAGTGTGTGTGAGTCAAGCGGACGTTGCTCTCTAATAGAGCTGTTGTGTAAGAGACTCACAGCCGAACTGAACCGACGCCCTCTGGCTGACCACCGTCCCGAACTCATTGCTGGACACACACGTATAGTTCCCAGCATGCTTGCTCTTGTCCGGGAAACTGATGACCAGGTTTCCGTCCATCAGGCTGTAGTGATCGTCAATGACGATATCAGTGTTGTTCAGTCTCCACCTGAGAACAAACACACACACTCACGATCAGAAACACACAACTGACGCATCAGGAGTTATATCATGAATCAATCGAAATAATGCTAATGTTCAATGATACTACAGATTCAGAGGAATCAAACCAAATCAGAGCAGCAAATGATTTTACAATATCAAAGATGGAAAATAGTTTTCAACATTAATAATTAGCATTTAATTCATGTGTAATTATTATTGATCCCAATAAAAAATGATATATATATATCCACTACCACATTCATTCATTAGTGTAGTATATATCTTTGGACATGGTAAGTAGTAATGTTTGCAAGCATGTAAAGCATGGTAAAGCATGTAAAGCGTGGTAAAGCATGTAAAGTGTGGTAATGCATGTAAAGTGTGGTAAAGCATGTAAAGTGTGGTAAAGCATGTAAAGTGTGGTAAAGCATGTAAAGTGTGGTAAAGCATGTAAAGTGTGGTAAAGCATGTAAAGTGTGGTAAAGCGTGTAAAGTGTGGTAAAGCATGTAAAGCATGGTAAAGCATGTAAAGTGTGGTAAAGCATGTAAAGTGTGGTAAAGCATGTAAAGTGTGGTAAAGCGTGTAAAGTGTGGTAAAGCATGTAAAGCATGGTAAAGCATGTAAAGTGTGGTAAAGCATGTAAAGTGTGGTAAAGCATGTAAAGCGTGGTAAAGCATGTAAAGCATGTAAAGTGTGGTTAAGCATGTAAAGTGTGGTAAAGCATGTAAAGCATGGTAAAGCATGTAAAGTGTGGTAAAGCATGTAAAGTGTGGTAAAGCATGTAAAGTGTGGTAAAGCATGTAAAGCGTGGTAAAGCATGTAAAGCATGTAAAGTGTGGTAATGCATGTAAAGTATGTAAAGCATGTAAAGTGTGGTAAAGCATGTAAAGCGTGGTAAAGCATGTAAAGTGTGGTAAAGCATGTAAAGTGTGGTAAAGCATGTAAAGTGTGGTAATGCATGTAAAGTGTGGTAAAGCATGTAAAGTATGTAAAGCATGTAAAGTGTGGTAAAGCATGTAAAGTGTGGTAAAGCATGTAAAGCGTGGTAAAGCATGTAAAGCGTGGTAAAGCATGTAAAGTGTGGTAAAGCATGTAAAGCATGTAAAGCGTGGTAAAGCATGTAAAGCATGGTAAAGCATGTAAAGCATGTAAAGTGTGGTAAAGCATGTAAAGTGTGGTAAAGCATGTAAAGTGTGGTAAAGCATGTAAAGCGTGGTAAAGCATGTAAAGTGTGGTAAAGCATGTAAAGTGTGGTAAAGCATGGTAAAGCATGTAAAGTGTGGTAAAGCATGTAAAGCATGTAAAGCGTGGTAAAGCATGTAAAGCATGGTAAAGCATGTAAAGTGTGGTAAAGCATGTAAAGTGTGGTAAAGTGTGGTAATGCATGTAAAGTGTGGTAAAGCATGTAAAGTGTGGTAAAGTGTGGTAAAGTGTGGTAAAGCATGTAAAGCATGTAAAGCATGTAAAGTGTGGTAAAGCATGTAAAGCGTGTAAAGTGTGGTAAAGCGTGTAAAGCGTGTAAAGCGTGGTAAAGCGTGTAAAGCATGTAAAGTGTGGAAAAGCGTGTAAAGCGTGTAAAGTGTGGTAAAGCGTGTAAAGCGTGTAAAGTGTGGTAAAGCTTGTAAAGCGTGTAAAGCGTGTAAAGTGTGGTAAAGCGTGTAAAGCGTGTAAAGTGTGGTAAAGCTTGTAAAGCGTGTAAAGCGTGTAAAGTGTGGTAAAGCGTGTAAAGCGTGGTAAAGCATGTAAAGCATGTAAAGTGTGGTAAAGCATGTAAAGCGTGTAAAGTGTGGTAAAGCGTGTAAAGCGTGTAAAGCATGTAAAGTGTGGTAAAGCATGTAAAGCGTGTAAAGTGTGGTAAAGCATGTAAAGCGTGTAAAGTGTGGTAAAGCGTGTAAAGCGTGTAAAGCGTGGTAAAGCATGTAAAGCATGTAAAGTGTGGTAAAGCATGTAAAGCGTGTAAAGTGTGGTAAAGCGTGTAAAGCGTGTAAAGCGTGTAAAGCATGTAAAGCATGGTAAAGCATGTAAAGCGTGTAAAGCGTGTAAAGTGTGGTAAAGCGTGTAAAGCGTGTAAAGCGTGGTAAAGCGTGTAAAGCATGTAAAGTGTGGTAAAGCATGTAAAGCGTGGTAAAGCGTGGTAAAGCGTGTAAAGTGTGGTAAAGCATGTAAAGCGTGTAAAGTGTGGTAAAGCATGTAAAGCGTGGTAAAGCGTGTAAAGCGTGTAAAGCGTGGTAAAGCGTGTAAAGCATGTAAAGTGTGGTAAAGCATGTAAAGCGTGGTAAAGCGTGGTAAAGCATGTAAAGTGTGGTAAAGCATGTAAAGCGTGTAAAGTGTGGTAAAGCGTGTAAAGCGTGTAAAGCGTGGTAAAGCATGTAAAGCATGTAAAGTGTGGTAAAGCATGTAAAGCGTGTAAAGTGTGGTAAAGCGTGTAAAGCGTGTAAAGCGTGGTAAAGCATGTAAAGCATGTAAAGTGTGGTAAAGCATGTAAAGCGTGGTAAAGCGTGGTAAAGCATGTAAAGTGTGGTAAAGTGTGTAAAGTGTGGTAAAGTATGTAAAGTGTGGTAAAGCGTGTAAAGTGTGGTAAAGCGTGTAAAGTGTGGTAAAGTATGTAAAGTGTGGTAAAGCGTGTAAAGTGTGGTAAAGCGTGTAAAGTGTGGTAAAGCATGTAAAGCGTGGTAAAGCGTGTAAAGTGTGGTAAAGCATGTAAAGCATGTAAAGCGTGGTAAAGCGTGTAAAGTGTGGTAAAGCGTGTAAAGCATGTAAAGTGTGGTAAACCGTGTAAAGTGTGGTAAAGCGTGTAAAGTGTGGTAAAGCATGTAAAGCGTGGTAAAGCGTGTAAAGTGTGGTAAAGCATGTAAAGCATGTAAAGCGTGGTAAAGCGTGTAAAGCGTGTAAAGCATGTAAAGCGTGGTAAAGCGTGGTAAAGCCACAAGTGAGACCTGTATGTGGCGGGAGGGTTGGCTCGTGTCCTGCAGCTCATGCTGATCTTGTCCTCCGGAGACTCTTCCGGGTAAATGGTGTCGACGGGCTGTTCCTCAAACACCGGCCCGAATCCTGACGACTCGTCTGAGACAGCAGGACACACACCGTCACACTCAAAGATGATGGAGAGAGCTCAGAGGAACATAACAAATAGTGCTGTCAAACCGATTAATCGTGTTTAAACACATATACCATACAAATATGTAAATATATTTTATATATATATGTGTGTGTGTGTATATATACTGTATATACACATACATAATCTTATATGTCAGATGCAGTTAATTGCGATTAATCGATTTGACAGCACTAAAAATAAATAAATGTATAAAACATTACAGATCTGTCAAAGGGATGAAATTGTGGAGAATGTGCGGTTTACTTTTTAAATAAAAAAAGCTTAAAAGTTCGGTGATAAACACATAAAACTCAAACTCAATCAGTTGTGTGTGAAATGCTTGAAACAGTGGCACTACCTTACGAAAGGTGTCAATCTCTCAAGACGTTTGCACATAATCGAAAATTAGTCTGAAGTAATTGTTTTGTTTTTGTGTAGATTTTGGTTTGGTAAACTAAGTTAAGGATTCAGCATACACCTTTTCCAGTTAATATGTAAAATTATGTATAATTATTATGGAATTGTGTATGAAGACCAAAATAAAATCTTGATGATGGTGATGATGATGAAGAAGTCCTTTGAAAAAACTAAGCATGTATAATCATTTTCACAACACATGAACAGGTCATTTAAAAAAGGACATAATTAAACATTATAAATATAAACACATGACATACTGTATGTCTGAGGGAAATTTGATTTGACTGGATCAGGAAGAGTTGATTGATTATATTAGTTCATATTATTTTCTTACGGTAACATCAGAAGAAAAGTAGAAAGTAAAACATTATGAAGATGACTCTCTGAACGTGCACTGATAAATTATGCATAATAAGAGCATAATAATGTGCATCAAGAGATTAAAGAGAGTCCATCTTGAACCCATGTCAGAGGCCGGTCAGTCATTTCCTGTTCCATTAGTGCATGCTGGGATATCTGAGACACAACGAGTCTGACGCCACTGCGATTAATGAGGAATAGTGCATAAGAACTCATGAACAGTTTTTTCGCTGTTGATTACTTTCAAATGAAGTTGAACTACTGCTTCAACTAAAGCATTTACCATCGATTAACAACCTCGCAGCTCACAGTAGGGCTGACTTTAAAAATCAATGGAGTTTCCACTTCCGGAAGCGACTCTCATTCGTCATGTGCATATTTTGAGTGCTTGACGTTAATTGCCTTATTTAAGTCACTTTAGAATGTTGATCGCAGAACATTGGAGATGATAAAAACATGACTAATGTTCTGGAAACTGCTTGGGAGTGATTCAGTGAGAGTATCCGGACAGATGGAGCGACTGAAACTCCTCTGATGTTAGTTTCAGGAATCTGCTGGCGTCTCGCTAATCAGATATGAATTATTCACGAGCGGGGAGTGTAATCTTCAGGCGTCAGACGGGTCGTTACTGTTGACTGATCCAAACACATGCGTAAAACAGCCTTGGTTATCTTACAGAAGCGTCTAAAACAACCACGTATGTGACCAAACAAACACGAATGTGGTAATGAGGCCAGACTCATCATAGTATTATACTAAACAATTTAAAAAAGTATTTATACATACACACACACCTCCATAAATATATATATATATACACACTCACCTAAAGGATTATTAGGAACACCATACTAATACTGTGTTTGACCCCCTTTCGCCGTCAGAACTGCCTTAATTCTACGTGGCATTGATTCAACAAGGTGCTGAAAGCATTCTTTAGAAATGTTGGCCCATATTGATAGGATAGCATCTTGCAGTTGATGGAGATTTGTGGGATGCACATCCAGGGCACGAAGCTCCCGTTCCACCACATCCCAAAGATGCTCTATTGGGTTGAGATCTGGTGACTGTGGGGGCCATTTTAGTACAGTGAACTCATTGTCATGTTCAAGAAACCAATTTGAAATGATTCAAGCTTTGTGACATGGTGCATTATCCTGCTGGAAGTAGCCATCAGAGGATGGGGACATGGTGGCCATAAAGGGATGGACATGGTCAGAAACAATGCTCAGGTAGGCCGTGGCATTTAAATGATGCCCAATTGGCACTAAGGGGCCTAAAGTGTGCCAAGAAAACATCCCCCACACCATTACACCACCACCACCAGCCTGCACAGTGGTAACAAGGCATGATGGATCCATGTTCTCATTCTGTTTACGCCAAATTCTGACTCTACCATCTGAATGTCTCAACAGAAATCCAGACTCATCAGACCAGGCAACATTTTTCCAGTCTTCAACTGTCCAATTTTGGTGAGCTCTTGCAAATTGTAGCCTCTTTTTCCTATTTGTAGTGGAGATGAGTGGTACCCGGTGGGGTCTTCTGCTGTTGTAGCCCATCCGCCTCAAGGTTGTGCGTGTTGTGGCTTCACAAATGCTTTGCTGCATACCTCGGTTGTAACGAGTGGTTATTTCAGTCACTGTTGCCCTTCTATCAGCTTGAATCAGTCGGCCCATTCTCCTCTGACCTCTAGCATCAACAAGGCATTTTCGCCCACAGGACTGCCGCATACTGGATGTTTTTCCCTTTTCACACCATTCTTTGTAAACCCTAGAAATGGTTGTGCGTGAAAATCCCAGTAACTGAGCAGATTGTGAAATACTCAGACCGGCCCGTCTGGCACCAACAACCATGCCACGCTCAAAATTGCTTAAATCACCTTTCTTTCCCAATCTGACATTCAGTTTGGAGTTCAGGAGATTGTCTTGACCAGGACCACACCCCTAAATGCATTGAAGCAACTGCCATGTGATTGGTTGATTAGATAATTGCATTAATGAGAAATTGAACAGGTGTTCCTAATAATCCTTTAGGTGAGTGTATATACACACACACTCAAAAAACAACTTATGCAAATAAAAATTAATTCAAAATATTACCTATACTACGGTATCAGTGATATTAAAGCATTAGAGCGGTTTGATTGGCGCGCCGCAGCTCTGTGTGTTCTGTAAGCCGCACGCAGTCACGCGGATGAAACACACACGGATCAAAGTCTCTCCAGGATCACTAAACGTCTGGAGAGCTCGCGGGCTCCCGAGGCTCTGATGGTGAACGGGTGCATGCGGTCAGGCCCGGGAAACGCAAGAGAAAGCCGAGGAGACGCACTGTCATCTGTTTAATCTCCTGCTCCCCCACAATGCCCTGCTTCTTCATTAGCGAATCACTGTATTGTCTGTGAGATCTTCCCTGAACACAGAGCAGATTCTGTTCCCGATGTCCTATCGTCTCACAGCGTCTCCTAACCAGCGCACAATAGGTTTCCAGCAACCAGCAGTTTGTCGAAACATAATAAGTAATGTGATGGATATCATATTTTGGGATGATGTCAACTTATATAAACCTCAGTAAATCACAGTGGAAACAAGTTCTTTAAGACGGACGGTTGAACTCACCTCCAAAGACTCCTGGGAAATCGGCACACACCGAGCAAACTGAAACAGCAAACACCATCAGAAACATGCAATCTTTACTTGTTCGGTGAGTTTTATTTTTTTAAACCAATCAGACTCAAAAACATCCCAGAATTATTAAGTGCATCTCTTTAATTCTACCTATGAGACGCATTTATACAGTAAAATACATGAGAAATGACAATCATATATCTTTAAGAGTAACTGAAGTGTCCAGATTATCCTGGATTATAGCAAAATCATAATCATTCATAAGTTAGTCAATATTGAGGTCAAGATCATGCACTGACTTTTAGAAACATGCATTTATTGAACTTCATAAAACTGTTTAACAGGGGATTTCACTGAATTTTTTAGATGTAATTCAACAGAAAAACAAATTAAAATAAAAGGTCAAATAAATACAATGAAGAATCCCAGCACAATAATCATTTTATCTCCATTATCTTGTTTTCGTTATCTTTGGAAGACTGAATCCTAATTGAGCATTAAGTCTGATTAAGCATGCGTCTTGGTGCAGATCCTCTCTGTGTCTCTTTATAAAGCAGCGACCGCTGATGTGTGTGTGAGATAGCGGCTGATCGGAGCGCTGATGTCCTCTGATCACTGACCGTCTGCAGTAATACAGGACACAGATCTGCTTCAGCAGGTTTCAGTGGTATACTCACAGCGAGAGGAGGGTTATAGTATAGTATACTCTCAGCGAGAGTAAGGTTATAGTAGTGTATACTCACAGCGAGAGGAGGGTTATAATAGTGTATACTCACAGCGAGAGTAAGGTTATAGTAGTGTATACTCTCAGCGAGAGTAAGGTTATAGTAGTGTATACTCACAGCGAGAGGAGGGTTATAATAGTGTATACTCACAGCGAGAGGAGGGTTATAGTAGTGTATACTCACAGCAAGAGTAAGGTTATAGTAGTGTATACTCACAGCGAGAGTAAGGTTATAGTAGTGTATACTCTCAGCGAGAGTAAGGTTATAGTAGTGTATACTCACAGCGAGAGGAGGGTTATAGTAGTGTATACTCACAGCGAGAGGAGGGTTATAGTAGTGTATACTCACAGCGAGAGTAAGGTTATAGTAGTGTATACTCACAGCGAGAGTAAGGTTATAGTAGTGTATACTCACACCGAGAGTAAGGTTATAGTAGTGTATACTCACAGCGAGAGTAAGGTTATAGTAATGTCGTATACTCACAGCGAGAGTAAGGTTATAGTAGTGTATACTCACAGCGAGAGTAAGGTTATAGTAGTGTATACTCTCAGCGAGAGTAAGGTTATAGTAGTGTATACTCACAGCGAGAGGAGGGTTATAGTAGTGTATACTCACAGCGAGAGTAAGGTTATAGTATTGTATACTCACAGTGAGAGTAAGGTTATAGTATAGTATACTCACAGCGAGAGTAAGGTTATAGTAGTGTATACTCACAGCGAGAGGAGGGTTATAGTAGTGTATACTCACAGCGAGAGGAGGGTTATAGTAGTGTATACTCACACCGAGAGTAAGGTTATAGTAATGTCGTATACTCACAGCGAGAGTAAGGTTATAGTATAGTATCTCTCAGCGAGAGTAAGGTTATAGTAGTGTATACTCACAGCGAGAGGAGGGTTATAGTATAGTATACTCACAGCGAGAGTAAGGTTATAGTATAGTATACTCACAGCGAGAGTAAGGTTATAGTAGTGTATACTAACAGCGAGAGTAAGGTTATAGTAATGTCGTATACTCACAGCGAGAGTAAGGTTATAGTAATGTCATATACTCACAGCGAGAGTAAGGTTATAGTAATGTCGTATACTCACAGCGAGAGTAAGGTTATAGTATAGTATACTCTCAGCGAGAGTAAGGTTATAGTATAGTATACTCACAGCGAGAGTAAGGTTATAGTATAGTATACTCACAGCGAGAGTAAGGTTATAGTAGTGTATACTCACAGCGAGAGTAAGGTTATAGTAGTGTATACTCACAGCGAGAGTAAGGTAATAGTAATGTCGTATACTCACAGCGAGAGTAAGGTTATAGTAGTGTATACTCACAGCGAGAGTAAGGTTATAGTAGTGTATACTCACAGCGAGAGTAAGGTAATAGTAGTGTATACTCACAGTGAGAGTAAGGTTATAGTAGTGTATACTCACAGCGAGAGGAGGGTTATAGTAGTGTATACTCACAGCGAGAGTAAGGTTATAGTAGTGTATACTCACAGTGAGAGTAAGGTTATAGTAGTGTATACTCACAGCGAGAGGAGGGTTATAGTAGTGTATACTCACAGCGAGAGTAAGGTTATAGTAGTGTATACTCACAGCGAGAGTAAGGTTATAGTAGTGTATACTCACAGCGAGAGTAAGGTAATAGTAATGTCGTATACTCACAGCGAGAGTAAGGTTATAGTAGTGTATACTCACAGCGAGAGTAAGGTTATAGTAATGTCGTATACTCACAGCGATAGTAAGGTTATAGTATAGTATACTCACAGCGAGAGTAAGGTTATAGTATAGTATACTCTCAGTGAGAGTAAGGTTATAGTAGTGTATACTCACAGCGAGAGGAGGGTTATAGTATAGTATACTCTCACCGAGAGTAAGGTTATATATCTCTTTGTTGTTGTTTGTTGTTTTGCACTTTGTTTCCTTGAACCATTGTGAAATAAGACGTTTTCTTGTATAGAATTTTTTTTTGGGGGGGGGGGCGCTTATAAGCTCTTTTGCTTCAGCTCTCTCCTTTTGAGCAGAATGGTTACTGCTCAAATAAATAAATAAATAAATAGTAGTGTATACTCACAGCGAGAGTAAGGTTATAGTAGTGTATACTCACACCGAGAGTAAGGTTATAGTATAGTATACTCTCAGCGAGAGTAAGGTTATAGTATAGTATACTCACAGCGAGAGTACGGTTATAGTAATGTCGTATACTCACAGTGAGAGTAAGGTTATAGTAGTGTATACTCACAGCGAGAGTAAGGTTATAGTAGTGTATACTCACAGCGAGAGTAAGGTTATAGTAATGTCGTATACTCACAGCGAGAGTAAGGTTATAGTAGTGTATCCTCACACCGAGAGTAAGGTTATAGTAGTGTATACTCACAGCGAGAGTAAGGTTATAGTAGTGTATACTCACAGCGAGAGGAGGGTTATAGTAGTGTATACTCACAGCGAGAGGAGGGTTATAGTAGTGTATACTCACACCGAGAGTAAGGTTATAGTAGTGTATACTCACACCGAGAGTAAGGTTATAGTAGTGTATACTCACAGCGAGAGTAAGGTTATAGTAGTGTATACTCACACCGAGAGTAAGGTTATAGTAGTGTATACTCACAGCGAGAGGAGGGTTATAGTAGTGTATACTCACACCGAGAGTAAGGTTATAGTAGTGTATACTCACACCGAGAGTAAGGTTATAGTAGTGTATACTCACAGAGAGAGTAAGGTTATAGTAGTGTATACTCACACCGAGAGTAAGGTTATAGTAGTGTATACTCACACCGAGAGTAAGGTTATAGTAGTGTATACTCACACCGAGAGTAAGGTTATAGTAGTGTATACTCACACCGAGAGTAAGGTTATAGTAGTGTATACTTACACCGAGAGTAAGGTTATAGTAGTGTATACTCACAGCGAGAGGAGGGTTATAGTATAGTATACTCACAGCGAGAGTAAGGTTATAGTAGTGTATACTCACAGCGAGAGTAAGGTTATAGTAGTGTATACTCACAGCGAGAGTAAGGTTATAGTAGTGTATACTCACAGCGAGAGTAAGGTTATAGTAGTGTATACTCACAGCGAGAGGAGGGTTATAGTAGTGTATACTCACACCGAGAGTAAGGTTATAGTAGTGTATACTCACAGCGAGAGGAGGGTTATAGTAGTGTATACTCACAGCGAGAGGAGGGTTATAGTAGTGTATACTCACACCGAGAGTAATGTTATAGTATAGTATACTCACAGCGAGAGTAAGGTTATAGTATAGTATACTCACAGAGAGAGTAAGGTTATAGTATAGTATACTCACAGCGAGAGTAAGGTTATAGTATAGTATACTCACACCGAGAGTAAGGTTATAGTATAGTATACTCACAGCGAGAGTAAGGTTATAGTATAGTATACTCACACCGAGAGTAAGGTTATAGTAGTGTATACTCACAGCGAGAGTAAGGTTATAGTAGTGTATACTCACAGCGAGAGGAGGGTTATAGTAGTGTATACTCACACCGAGAGTAAGGTTATAGTAGTGTATACTCTCAGCGAGAGTAAGGTTATAGTAGTGTATACTCTCAGTGAGAGTAAGGTTATAGTAGTGTATACTCACAGCGAGAGGAGGGTTATAGTAGTGTATACTCACACCGAGAGTAAGGTTATAGTAGTGTATACTCACACCGAGAGTAAGGTTATAGTAGTGTATACTCACAGCGAGAGGAGGGTTATAGTAGTGTATACTCACAGCGAGAGGAGGGTTATAGTAGTGTATACTCACACCGAGAGTAAGGTTATAGTAGTGTATACTCTCAGTGAGAGTAAGGTTATAGTAGTGTATACTCACAGCGAGAGGAGGGTTATAGTAGTGTATACTCACACCGAGAGTAAGGTTATAGTAGTGTATACTCACAGCGAGAGTAAGGTTATAGTAGTGTATACTCACAGCGAGAGTAAGGTTATAGTAGTGTATCCTCACACCGAGAGTAAGGTTATAGTAGTGTATACTCACACCGAGAGTAAGGTTATAGTAGTGTATACTCACAGCGAGAGCGGAGCGAGGTGGCGATCAGCAGGATGAGGGCCGTGCGGCTCATGGCTCCAGGGATCATGGCTTAAATCAGATCTTCAGACATCAGGAGCTGCTGGGATTCC